CATCGATCCCAACTGCGTGGATCGATGCTCATGATATCAGTCACTGGATTGTCTGGTCCAGGCACCATTATTGACAGTTCTCCATCATATAACAGGAGTATTGATGAGTTTGGCATTAAACAACAAACAAAAGCTTAGGTTGTGTATAGACAGCACAAACTACAAACAGAGTTTAAAAAATCTAAACTCACAGATTGATCGGTGCTTATTAACTCGATTATTTACAGGCCGCCGTCATATAGTTGGAATATTGCTGAGTGCGGCGTTAAACAACAAACAAACAAACAAACAATGGTTGAAAGTTTGTTGCTTTTACAGAAGAAAATATTCGCCCACCCGTATAGACACCTTGGCAAAAAGCCGAAGAACATATACTTTTTTGTTGTTGTCTTATGTACGAACAATTTATTATTAAACATACACTCTTCAAAATTAGAAATGCACGGGTAGATTTTTAGTAAATTTATTGTACCTAATAAAGTCGATATATTTACATGTGTTGTAGTCACATGTTGTCGTTGTACAAAGGCATTGAAAACTGTTTATTTTCATGTCACATAAAGGCCACAAGGTTGCGCTGAACTAAGTATCTCGTGTGACCGCCACGGGTATCAATCACGGCTTTGCATCTCCTCGGCACTGACTGGATAAGGTACGAATTCTGTCCTGCGGAATTCTGCGCCATTCTGCGCCATTCTGCGCCATTCTGCTTGTAACGCGTTGGCCAGTTGTGGGAGTGTCTGCGGCGTGTGCTGACGTTGACGTAGACGTAAATCGAGTTCATCCCAGAGGTGTTCGATTTGGTTGAGATCTGGAGATCTCGACGGCCAGAGCAAGCCGTTGATGTTGGCATTATGAGGTAGTGACACGGGCTGTGTACGGTGGAGCGTTGTCGTGATGAGACAGCTCCCTCTGGCGGTCAATGATTGAAAGAACCACAGCCAAGTCAGATCTCGTGGAGTAGGATATGACCCCCCCCCCCCCCCCCCCCCACAACAATGACACTAACGCCACCGAAATTGCCGAATTCACGTACACAATGTGGGGCAAAACGCACATTTCGACGACGATAAGCACGGTGTCTTCCATCTCGCCGGTGAAGAAGAAATCGTGATTCATCGACAAACCACACTCGTTTCCAGTTTCTCAAATTCCAAGGCTGTAAGGTATGGCACCAAAGTATTATTAATATATTTTAAAAGAATATAATTAACTTGGTATTGATACGATATATGCATTTTGAAATGCGTAAGGAAAATGTAACTTTTGGTAGTTAATATAAATACTTAAAAATCAATACTTCAACTTTGATGATGGTTTTGCTTCTCCGTCTTGTGGTGTACGCCTTATTTTGAACTTTCTCTTCGTTTTACATGCACAAGATAGAAAACTATGTGTTTCCCCCTCTTCTGGGTATCGCCTCCGTGAACTGGTAAGTTCGATGCCCTGCCGCGTCATACCAAAGACGTTATACGATGGTACTTGTTGTTACCCTGCCTGCCATTCGACGTTTAGGGGCTAAAACAAGGACTGGTCGGCACGGAGTCAGTATACTGTGTCTGAGTTGGACATACATGTTAAACTGCAGCATGGTATATCAGTGGGCTAGCACTATAAAACGGCTTTAATCTGAACAAGTACAATCAGCTGTAGAAGTGTATTAATCTCGAAGGCGACGATAAACCCCATTTCACCTCGCTTCATCACCAGGCAACCATTTTATACGTTTCATTTCGGGTACTGGCCTAATGCTTGATTAACACTGGTTATGTAGCCAGAAATATAACTGCAGCTTCCTCATGTTCACCAGATTTAAATAAAGGATTAAAGCCCCAGATTACCTACAAAATGATGTTAGTTAATAAATATTATTATTTTATTAACTTATAACATGGGAAACATATCCCCTGATATTCCTGTACACGTGGTTTGTTTGTGTGTTGTTTAACGCCGCACTCAACAATATTCCAGTTATATGACGGCGGTCTGTAAATAATCGAGTTCGATCCACGCAGTTGAGATACGATGACATGCATCAACCAAGTCAGCGAGACTGACCACCCGATCCCGATAGTCGCCTTTTACGGCAAGCATAAATTGTTGAAGACCAATTTTAACCCGGATCTTCACGGGTCTGTCCACATGGTACTGTAGAGGGTTGTAGAAACGTGGAATTTTGTTGAATAAAGACGCCATAAGTATTATGTTTATAACCACCAGATTTTCTTAATCAAACGCACGGACTGGGCACAGCTCACACACACACTAATTCACTCACTCACTCCCATACTGTGTGTAACGTCGTTCACAACTCACACTTGGTCTTGGCATTTGATCGGTGGTCTTCACAGCGTCCCTTTATTGAATCGAGTCCCCAGTTATTGACGTTTTCAACTACAGTAAACTACGTTAATAACGAACACGCTTATAACGAACTGACGGATATCGCGAACTTACTTTTTTGTCCCGACTAATTGCTGTAGTTATGTTGTATATATGCTTATAACGAACTACGGTTATAACGAACTAAAATTAGTGGTCCCTTTGAGTTCGTTATATCCGTAGTTTGCTGTAGCTTATCAAACGGGTGTCAACAGCCAGGACGTGACGCTGTGAAACCTTTAACCGTTTTCGTTTGCAACGTTTGTTTGTTGTTTAACGGCGCACTCAGCAATTTTCCAACTATATGACGGCGGTCTGTAAATAATCGAGTCTGGACCAGACAATCCAGTGATCGATATCATCAGCATCGATCCACGCAATTTGGATATGATGACATGCATCAACCAAGTCAGCAAGCCTAACCATCCGATCCCGTTAGTCGCCTTTTACGACAAGCATAGTCGCCTTTTACAGCAATCATGGGTTGCTGAAGACTTATTCTACCCCGATCTTCACTGGTCGAAACCTTTAACCAATCAACCAGTACAAGCATGTTGACGTTGTATCACCTGGTAACCAAATAACTTGCTTCTTCCAAAGCAGCTGTCTTGGTTACCGTTTGTTTGTGTTTTAGTTGATTGTTAGATCCTCATGATGATAACAGGGAGACTACCTTACCAGCATCCCACACTTGACAAGAGTCACTGAAGAGGTTGGCTGTGATTGCGCCTTATCCATCCTCGACTGCATTCGTTTTTGTTCATGCTTTCAGTCACTGGTTTGTCAGGTCCTGAATCGATTTTTTACAAGCCGCTGTCAGTCCGTCGTTAAACAAACAAACATACAGTTTAAATTGAGTGTGGCGGAATTTTTTTTAAATGTTCACTCACCAGATGTTAAACAGTTCGAAATTATTTGGTGACCGCTGTTTTCGCAAGACCAGTCCAACACATTGAAACAAATCAAGAGTGCCTAGGACGATGAATTAAGGGATTGTTAAAAACACATATGTTCCAATCCGCCTTTATCTCTCAATGACTCCACGATTATGTTTCTAGGTTTGTCAGCACCATACCCGTGCTCGTGGGTTTCACCGAAGCGGTAAACGTCTAAGACCTGCATCACTTCGGGCTTTCCTCCCACATTAAGCTGACACGCTGTGATATAACTGGAATACTGTTAAAAGCGGTGTTAAACCAAACACACTCACGCACTCGCTCTCAATGACTCTCTGTTCACTACCAGCTTTTACATAATTTAATATTATTGTTCTTATACTAATAATAAAAACAACAACAATAATAATTTACAGATTAAAGAGGGTTTGGGTGATTCTTCTTCTTCTTCTTAATGTCTATAGGAATGGTTGTTCCAGGAGTATGGTCCTTGGTCTGTCCCCATGTGGAATTCCTAGGTCTAGATGTAGCATTTTGTGCCATGTGTGAAACTAGACATTGCACTGGCTTGTTGTTCCACACAATCAAATAATGAACTAGTGTTTGAAAGAAATGAATCTAATTGGGCCGAGCCTACTTCATCCATTTGGAGGATGCACTGCCACCTTGTCTCATTAGCGAGTGAATGAATTTAAGTTCACTCTTGAACAGTATTTCAGTCATATCACAGTGAGGTGAAATGCACTTACATTGCGAGAAGTGTGTGTGTGTGTGTGTGTGTGTGTGTGTGTGTGTGTGTGTGTTTTAACATGAATACACCACTCAGTTTGGCCATGATGGCTGGCCAAATATCATCGATGGCAAGAGTGAGTGAGTGAGTATTGTTTTACGCCGCTTTTAGCAATATTCCAACAATATCACGGCAGGGGACACCAGAAATGGGCTTCACACATTGTACCCATGTTGGGTCTTCCGTGTGACGAGCGAACGCTTTAACCACTAGGCTACCCGACTGCCCCTCAATGGGAAGAACTACAAACCATTAAAGATATGAAAATTGTGTCATCTATAATACCTTACATAAACTATTATGAAGAAATAAAATTTAGATTTACCAACACAGACTTGTTATTGTCAATAATGTTAATTGCTGCAGATGGAAAGTAACTGTTTTTGTTATATCTCAAATGTCCACAAAGTAAACCCTGCATAGATGTGCCATCACTCACCAGTTGTGTGAAACATGTAGATTTTTTTAGGAATTTGTTTTGTGTATTTACTCAAAGATACTTCTCCAATATTTATTGATAATTGATCAATGTTTAGTTAACGATTATAGATCTTTATGATCTGGATCGATATCCAGCTCTACCACTCAGACACAATATACTGACTCCAAGCCGACCAGTCCTTGTTTTAGCCGAATGCCAGGCAGGGTAACAACAAGTCCCATCTTTTAACTTCTTTTGAAGCGGCTGGGTATACAACCTTCCACTCTCCGGGTGGATGCTCTACCACAAGACCACGGAGATGGTCATATCACAGTGTGTCAGCTCGTCACGCCGAAGACCCGGGTTCGATTCCCGACATGGGTACAATGTGTGAAGCCCATTTCTGGTGCCCCACGTCGTGATATTGCTGGAATATTGCTAAAAGCAGTGTAAAACCATACTCACTCACAGTGTGTCAGCTTGATGGAACAATGCATTGCAAGACATAAGATCTGATATAGAAATAGCTTTATTTCCAAATTACATGACAGATTATCAATCATTCAATCAGCGGTGGTTGTATACTGCTACCAATTTGTAAAGAAGATATTCCTAAACACACGATGTGTTTTGGATGACTTTCACAACTTGATGACACCCAGGGGTGAGAATGATGATGATTACTTATTTTGGGTTAAAAGCTATTCTTTCTTTTTCATGTCTAATATTCTCAATTAACCTCAAATTTGATTCACTCCTGCATCTTGGCGTGATGATCAACACATCTGTGTAGCAAGATGGTTACGGCCACATGATGTAGGCTTCCCATCAATCCAAATAAAATCAGATCATTTACACCCATGTTCCTGTCTGCAACCCCATACCATGACCCTACAACCACCTCGCAGACTGTCTCAAGTGAACCTTGACAGCCCATTCTATATGAAGGATGTGTGTGTTCTTGAGCCAATCAGATATCAGCTTCCTAAAACAGCTTTTGGCTTCAGTTCCTTACCAAAACCAGAAATTTTGATTTTCACAAAAGAAAACCCACAAACGCAAGCATCCTTTGAAGGTACTCCCTTTTGAGGAAGCTGCCATGGCACCCGTAATATTCCGCTGCTGAAACAATATAGATGCATGATGGGAATCTCTCCTGGAGTTGATGGCGTGACATACTCGGTTTGTAGGGACTTCACAATTGATTTATTCAAGGCACAGGTCTCACAACACTCAGAATAGTCTCATGAAACTTCAGAACATGATGGGAGCGTCATCAAACAAGTAACACAATAAGTGTATTCTAAACAAAACACAGTTCAACCTTTATTATTTCCATTTGGAACTGGTCGTTTATGTTCATCTTAATGATACAAAATGTAATAATTCTGCTCAATGAATTTAGAGGCCTGATTGGCTGATTTAGATAGTTCACCTGATAGGGCTTGTCAGATCTTCATGTAGTGAGGTATTTCACTGGAGTAACAGATTTGATTAATGATATTGTCTTGCCCTTGCCAAGAAGAACTCGTTATCCAATCTTTGGGGGAAGACATATTGACATTTTTAAGAGATCCCTGATTTCACAAATTGTCTTTGATTGCAGTGTCCGGAAACATTGCCTGGAAAATTCAGTGTACTACTGTCCTGGTGACTGCTTTTACAGCTTGCTGGATGTGGAGGCCTTCAGCTGAACCACGACCTTGCCCTTGTTCGTGCCTTGGTACATGTACTGCAACAGTAGCATACAGCATCTCCAGTAAGGCTTGACACACAAGTAAAACAGTCCTGCTTCCTAATATATCATTAGTCATTAAAACATTAATTGAAAAGAAGAAACAAGAATATTTATAATATAAGTGAAAGCCTTAAAATATATTTTTTATCTATTTTTTTATATATTTAGTCACCAATTATCTTCTTTAAACGAGTACATAATAAGTGAATGTATTTCAACGTTAGCAATATTCCAGCTACATCACAATGACCTGTAAAGGCAAACCAGTGATTGAAGGAATGGGCAATGATATTTACAACTGATGCCGACAGAGATCGAACCACCAATCTTCTCTCTCCTTTCAGACTTTATTCGAGAAAATGAATGTTATTTTTCATCCTCACCCATGGAAAATGAAGCAGAATGGAATCTCAGAACCCAATGTGTTTCATGAAAACAGAGACCATATAATAGATTATATGGTCTCTGATGAAAAGCATGAAAATGTAACCTGGGTAAATGTGTGTCATCAGACCTCAATAACATGCATCTTTCTCATGCTGTCAACCACTGGTTTTCCTGACCCCAACTTGACAACTTACAAGCCATTGTGACATAACTGATGTAGTGCTGACCTCAGCAACACTCACTCACTCACTCACCACCTATGTGTACTCACATCTATAGCATCTGCAACACTGTCCAGCCCTACAAAGGGCCCTGTGGGAGTTGTCTCCCCTTGGTCTATCACGCTCTGCAGCTTGCCCTGGGAGAGGAGTGTGATGAGTTTGGCCATGTACTCCTGTATATAGTTGGTGTAATGAAACAAGAAGAAACCTCGGACACTTGCTGATTTGGGCAGAAGCTGGAATAATAAAATTTAAAAAAATGTTACACAAAAATCAACACATACGACTTAAGATTAAATCATGATATGAAGGATGTGTGTGTGTGTGTGTGTGTGTGTGTGTGTGTGTGTGTGTGTGTGTGTGTGTGTGTGTGTGTGTGTTCAGAGTGAGTGAGTCTGGTTTTACACGGTTTTAGCAATATTTATAAACCTCAGAGAGTGTTCATTTGTATTGATCGTTAGGTTTCTTCAAACTTGAGAAAGACCCGCATGAGGTTTTACTTGCATAGAAAACCCGGGACTTACTGTGGGAGACCCGGTGACTTGATTTTCATCGTTATAAAAAGTTACATATTTCAGATCAAGTCCCTGGGTCTTCCACAGTAAGTCCCCAGGACTTCCATACCCTTTATTTGTAAAAAAACACAATACTAGATTTTCTTCACTTTAATTGAAGTTGACATTTACAATGATATTCTTTGCAGGCCCCAAATTCATCTTCATCGGGCTGTTCTTCGTCACAGTCATCTGCATTTTTAGTTTTCGTTTGTGTGAGAAATAAATCGTCACCTTCCTCTCTCTCCCACATCTTGCCACTAAATGAAACTCGACTGTAAGCTGTCCACATTATGACGGAGACGCTCACGCTCACGTGCGTGCACGACCAGCACGTGCATGACACCTGTAGTCGTCACTCAACATAGCTCACGGATGCGTTTATAGTCTCGTTATATTGCATATATAGATCCTCGTTATTGCGTATCTCAATTAGAATTAACTTTGTCGGTTTATAAGTCAGATAAAACACGTTCCGAGGTTTTGGTTGAAAATGTAAACCCCGCCTGGTCGGAAAGATCCTAAGGGCCGACCAGGCGGGTTTACATTTTCAACCAAAACCTCGGAACGTGTTTTATTCTTCACTTCAGCAATATCACGGCCGAGGACACCAGACATGGGTGTCACACATTGTACCCATTTAGGGACTCGAACCCGGGTCTTCGGCGTGACGGGCGAACGCTTTAACCACTAAGCTACTCCACCACCCCTCTAAACAAGTATGTTGTACATTTATACATTGCAGAGGATCAACACATTTTCTAATTATGTTTACCGTAATGCATCTGTTTGTCGTGCATGCAACATAATCATCACACAGAACAATTAATGGATTGTTATGAACTAGGAAACCACAGGCAGGGATGATTCAAAATGCAAACTAAAGCAAATAAGGAATTGTAAAAATGAGTCATACAGCCTTATCTTACAACTGGAAACAATGTGTTAGGATATTCTGTTTTCACAGAAGAAATTTGGTCCATTTGGCAAACATCTGTTGACTTACCCGTTGTGGCAGAGCTGATGTCCGTGAAGGTTTGAACCCAGTCTGACTCTCATAGCCCGAGATATAGCCAATCACGATCAACCGACCCTTTGTTGCCAAACTGAGAACAAAAACATAAACTAAGCTTCAAACGTGCATGAGGTGAGGTAAGGTCATCTCCCTGATACAAGGGCGTACACTTACTATAAAACTCCAGTTTCCACCCTTGCCACACTAGGCTGGAATTTCTAGACTCAATCGCAGCGCCACCAGTGGTTATTGCGAGTTATGTCCCTTCTATTTCCCTCCTATTGACCAATCAGATACCATCTCTCATATCACTTGCATTTGCTTCAAACAAAATGGCGGCGCCAGTTTAGATGATCTGATCGATAATCAAGACCTATACAACAATCAAACGGGTCTTACCCGCAAAGTGCATCAGATCACTTGAGCACCTTGATTAAAAACATGAAAATATTTGCAAAATATATGTCAATGACCAGTTGACGGTACACATGCTTTGCAAATGCTGCAGTCGACTGAAATCATCACGTTGTTTACAAACTGAATGTCTACTTTGTAACATGAATTTGAATGGACTATGCATCGACTCTTTAGTTCAGCCAAAATGTAACTCCGGAATTCCAGCCTAGTTCGGCAAGGGTGGAAACTGAACTTTTAAAGTCAGTTAACTCCCTTGCTTCTGGAAGATGAAGTAAGGTGACATGGGGATAACATTGCATTCAACATTATAGCTCTTGCACTAGTCCAGATTAAAGCCTGTTTTATAGTGCTAGCCTAATGAGATACCATGCTGTAGTTTAACATGCATACCCCTCTCAGACACAGCATACTGACTCCGAGCCGACCAGTCCTTGTTTTAGCCCCTTCATGCCGAGCTCAAGGCAGGGTAACAACAAGTACCATCTTTTAACAGCTTTTTGTATGATTTGGCGGGAATCGAACTACTCTCTAGACAGACAATCTATCACTACACCATAGGGGTGGTCCACACATTTAATGAATTACCAAAACAACCACATCATCAGAGCTCCAGATAAGCTTTTGGTGTTGTGGGTATTTTACCCATGCATTTTAAAATCATTGGGTATCAGTAATTCTATCTGCGTATTCAAATGTCTGTTACCCACTAGTTTTTACACATGTGGGTATTTAAGTTTAATATTTAAAAACACTATTCATCTAGTCCCTGCAAACTGGTGTCGTGTGGGTTCGAGAGCTTTATAGGACTCAAAAATACCACGATACTTCCACAAGAAAGTGTGATGGCAAATGATCATGATGTAACTGTCATCGTGGAGTTGCTGATTTGCTAATCGAATACGCAGAGTTACTTCACAATATTTTGATGATACGCACAAGTTTTATTTTTGTAGCGTATCTGTAATGTTCGTTGCGTATTTGATACGCTTGGATTATATTTTACTGTGTATTTCTGCATTTCTGATGCGTATTTTACGCAGATACGCAGCTTATCTGGAGCTCTGCATCATTCAAATCACTAGGTAATAAACACCCAAACATATCAAACGAAATACAGTTAACTGCTGTGGAGATTCCAGGTTAGAGTTGGACACCAGCAACCTATCTGGGAAGATGGTCGGACTCGGTGACTTGATGGATTCTGCTCAGAATATCAACCACTAGTTTCTCTGGTTCTGATCTTTGCTATATAGCTGGAATATTGCTGACAGTGGTGTTAAAACAAACCAATCACAGTTATGTACACTTGGTTCAACAGGAAACTAATGCGTACTTCAGTTGTGATACAAGTGAGTATGGTTTTTATGTCGCTTATAGCAGTATTCCAGCAATATCACAGCTGGGGAGACCAGAAAATGTCGGGAATCGAACCTGGGTCTTCGGTGTGATGAGTGAAAGCTTTATCCACTTGGCTACCTGACCGCCCCGTGGTACAAGAGACCCGGGTTGATCTGCAGCAATCCATGCTTGTCATAAGAGGCGACTAACGGGATCGGAGTGTCACGGCCCCTGACTTGCTTGATGCATGTCGCATATCCCAGTCGCATAAATCAATGCTCATGATGTCAGTCACTGGATTGACTGTTCCAGACACGATTTTTTACAGACCGCCATCATTAGCTGGAATAGTGTGACTTTAAAACAGCAAACAAACATTGTACAAGAATATCTACCTGTTGACACAAGTATCAAACATCTCTCCTCCCACAGACTCGTACACCACATCAATACCGCCCTGCAAAACACATCATAGCAGAAACTGAATTTGGAAACTGTACCATTATGAATATACTGCTTCCACCTACAGAACTTCAGAACTTGGTGTATTCTATATAGATCTACACTGTCTCGTTTACAAAAAAATCTACAAAAATAGTACAGTTATGTTTAACATACAACGTTTAAACTCGGATACCATTTAAGATGATGTAATTTTGTTGTCCCTCGAAAACATTAATTGGCTCACTGCTTGTCACAAAAACTTTTCTTTATGATCTCAAGGACTATCACCAGACAAGGTGTCCCTGTGGTGGTATTAAGGAGCTGTAGCTTCAATGAAGACAGTTCGTCTTCAAGTTTTCACTGTTTGTAAAATTGAGCTAATCTTGTTCAGGATACTCTGATAGTATTCATACTGATGTCGAGTTTTACTCTCTGACAACTATCTAACTTACCGGGTATTCCTTCTTCAAGACTTCTTTGACACTCTCCACTTTGTAGTTGATGGGTCTGTCGCAGCCAAGACTCTATTAGAAAGGTGTAAATACAATTACATGGAAATAATTATATTTTTTACATCAATTCTTTTTCAAATGTCTGACTTCAACATAGTCGCAACACATAGACAATTCATACATAGGAAGTGATAATGACTCCTGTTCGTTCGTTCGTTTGTTGTTCGTTCCTTTTGTTCGTTCCTTCGTTCGTTCATTTTTGAGTGTGTGGTGTTACATGCCATTGTAAGCCATGATACACAGTTATTCAGTCACTGCTTTGAGTTCGGCTGCCTTCCAAGAGCTGAATATTCATGCACCGCAGCCATTGTGACCAGGCAATCACCATCATCAAGGACCCATTCCAAGCGCCTTTAAATCCAAAATGAGTGAGTTTTGGTTTTTTTACTCCGCTTTTAGCAATATTCCAGCAATATCACGGCGGGGGACACTAGAAATGGGCTTCACACATTGTACCCATGTCAGGAATCGAAACCCGGGTCTTTGGCGTGACGTGTGAACGCTTTAACCACTAGGCTACCCGACCGCCCCTCCAAAATGAGGCTAACATTTTAGCACTATTTAGGAGCACAGTTGTTTTTTCTTTACAATGGACTTAAATGTTAATTATAACATTGGTGTCCTGTGGAGAAAGAGAATACCATTGACGAATACTTAGGTCACATGCTACTTTAGGTCTTCCAGACTTATGGTGTTGCTTGATGACTATCTTTAATATATTGTTTGAGAGGCATTGCTTAGAAGTTGACAGATGACATACTTATGGATAACAACTTACGATAAAAAAAGAGGTTGTTATTTCTAAATTGTGTCTACTTTGTCTTTAATATGGTCTGTAAATAATCGAGTCTGGAGCAGACAATCCAGTGATTGACATCATGAGCATCGATCCACACAATTGGGATACGATGACATGCATCAACCAAGTCAGCGAGCCTGACCACCCAATCCCATTAGTCGGCTTTTACGACAAGCATACCCGTAGTCACCTTTTACGGCAAGCATTAGTTGCTGAAGACCTATTCTACCCGGAACTGGAAGTTTCAAAAGCCGTTTTGCTATGAGGTAAGGCAAGATTGTCAGTCACATGCTAGCACATTCCTGTAAATGCAAGAGTGTAATATACTTCAAAGTACCTACAGTAATACCCATTATCAAATTGATCTGTTCAGCTCTAGTGAGTTCACACTGTCGACCAAAGGTAGTTATTTCTTTCTGGTATGACTATTATCATTAGTTACCTATTTAAACATACCTTTAGAAATTTCACTTTTTCCTCGCTAGAACATGTACCGATAACATGACAGCCAGCAAGCTTCGCCAGTTGGACCTGATAGAGAGACAGTATAATCAACACTAAACATGTCTACCATGTAGGCCTGATATGGAACATCAAAGTCTTGACGCTGAGCTGGTCCTGAGACAAGTTTGTCACTTGTTGTTTAACATGCACTCAGCAATATTACAGCTATATGATGGTGGTCTGTAAATAAACGAGTCTGGACCAGACAATCCAGTGATTGACATGAGCATCAATATACATAAATGCATCAACGAAGTCAGCGAGCCGTACCACCTAATCCAGTTAATCAATTCTTACAGCATGGGTTGCTGAAGACCAGTTCTGACCCTGACCTTCAAAGGGCTTCAAGATAGGTAGCATGATATATTATTTGGGAGTGTGTGAATGTATTCGGTTTTTGATGTGACAAAAGAACATGTAAGCTGATTCCTTATTTCTGATACTCAAGAAACTTAAGACAACACCAATACACACACCTATATTTAGGAGTCACTTTGCTCAATGCAGCAGTCAGCAATATTTCAGCTGTATGATGGACGTCTGTAAATGATTAAGCCTGGACCAGGGCCCCGTTCCACAAAGCAATCTTAGCGCTACGTCTGTCGTAAGTCTATGTTAAAATATGGGAGCTACGATCGACTTAGCGCTACAATCGCTTTGTGGAACGGGACCCTGATAAACCAGTGACTGAAAGCATGAACAATGATCCACACCATCAGGGCATGATATCCACACCATCAGGGCATGATGATGACCTGTAATCAGGGCATGGTGACATGCCTGCACAGGCACAGTGATATGCCATCAGGTCACCGTGACACACCATGACCTGTAATCACCCAAATCCCAGAGCCTGACCACCTGATTGACTCTCATGGGACACTCGCATTTACATGTATTTGACATAGGAAATTTTGAATGAAAAGATTTCAACAGGAAGAGGAAAGGTTCAAAGTTCACAAAAACAACTGTCAGTAGCCACTCACAGCAAACTGCCCGGTGCCCCCGGCTGCAGCTGCAACAACAAACACACCTCATCGTTACCTCAGGCAGCATCATCGTCCAAAAGAAACAAAAAATTGGTTGTGAAAAAAATAAATGAAAATGAAAATTTCAGTTCGACTTCTCTGAGTTTTTATTTTGAAGCAATGACTGAAAACTTATTTAATTTGTAAAAATATTCCCCTCCCCAATTAAATACTGTAGTTGGCCTCCTAGTAGTAGTCATTATCTCACTGTATGCTTCCTAGAGTTCGACTTCTCTGAAACGTTTTTATTTTGAAGCAATGACTGAAAACTTATTTAATTTGTAAAAAAATTCCCCTCCCCAATTAAATAGTTGGCCTCCTAGTGGTAGTCATTATCTCAATGTATGCTTCCTAGAGCGTAAGATATGATTTACGTACCTGTCACAAGAACTTTCTCTCCTTTCTGGATCTCCCCCACCTGGCAAATAGAGCAGCATCATTACTCATCATAAACTCCAGCTGTTACCATAACAACTCTACTGGTGGTCATAAGGGGGATCAGATATAGTCACATAAACATATTTCAAATACCGGTAAGTCTCTGTTCGTGAGTGTGAGAGTGAGTTTGGTTTAACGCCGCTTTTAACAGTATTCCAGTTAGATCACAGCAAGTCAGCTTAATGGGGGAGGAAAGCCGGAAGTGATGCAGGTCTCAGACGTTTACCACTTTGGTGAAACCCACGAGCACAGGTATGGTGCTGACAAACCTAGAAACATAATCGGGGCAAATCAGGATTCGAACCCAAAATCATAGGTTTCTGGCGTGCCCAAGGGACGCAACTCTGCACAGCAAATCGCTGCTCCCTAGACGACTGGGCCACCCGTGCCCCCCTGTTCTTGTGAACACGTAATGATAAAGTTGTCTCATGTGTCACTAGGGCTCAGTAAAATCTTAAAACTCTATATTGAGGAGGACAGGTGATGAAAGGGTGTTCAATCTTACATGTCATGACTTCGGTTGTCTGCATGCTGCATGTGGTCTTTCTCTTGACCACTGTTCATTTTATACTTCAACTACTGCTTCACTGTAAGTATCCCAATGTTTTTTTAAATCACTTCTCCTTGGCACTGGTTGAAAATGTAAAACCTTGAACTCTCGAAAAGCATTCACTCGAGGTTATACATTTTCAACCAAAACATTGGAGTCATGTTTTAACACGAGCGTAAGTCTGATCGGTGATCATGTAGATCAGCTGTTGAAAGCTTACCTTGTCTAAACTGATGGCAGCTGTCAACCCACTCACAGGAAAGGGAAGTAACTTTGGGTTGGAACTCGGAACAGGAATCACGTGTTTGGCTGGCAGAAGCTGAAATATACACCTACACGTTCAACTCAAACATACGCCTACACATTTAACTCAAATATACGCCTACACAATTAACTCAAATATACGCCAACACGTTCAACTCAAATATACACCTACACATTCAACTCAAACATACGCCTACACATTTAACTCAAATATACGCCAACACGTTCAACTCAAATATACACTTACACGTTCAACTCAAACATAAGCCTACACATTCAACTCAAACATACGCCAACACGTTCAACTCAAATATACACCTACACGTTCAACTCAAATATATTCCTACACGTTCAACTCAAATATACGCCTACACGTTCAATTCAAATATACACCTACACGTTCAACTCAAACATACGCCTACACGTTCAACTCAAACATACACCTACACGTTCAACTCAAATATACACCTACACGTTCAATTCAAATATACACCTACACGTTCAACTCAAATACACGCCTACACGTTTAACTCAAATATAAACCTACACGTTCAACTCAAATATACACCTACACGTTCAATTCAAATATACACCTACACGTTCAACTCAAATATACACCTACACGTTCAACTCAAATATACACCTACACGTTCAACTCAAATATACACCTACACGTTCAACTCAAATATATACATAGATGTTCAACTCAATCAATGGCAATTTAAAATTAAAATTTGGAGGATCTTATATGGCAAGTCCCAGCCAATTATAATTTCTTTAGAAAAAACAATAACAATAGATTTGGCTGAAACTAATAGTAGGAAGTGTACTGTATGTCCCTTCTAACACATAAACAATGTTCAATGCCATAAGGAGCTCTTATTGATGTAAGGGGCCATAAAAACAGCACTTCCTGTCAGCCATGTTGAATCTTGATCAGTCATGTATATCACATGGTGTCAGAAGACAGAAGACAAAATTCCTGCAGCATCCCCTAATTACATTGACATAATGTCACAGGAGAAATGACATTGTGTGATTTATGTCACGGTTTTGACAATTTGAAGCCCCTATCATAGATTTGAGTCAGAACAAATGTAAATAATGAAATAAAAGACATTACATGCATTTGTTATTGTGGATAATTTCAAAACTTGAATTTTCAAACCTTGTATTCTGTGAAAGCCCCCATCACCATATAGAGGACTGACTGGCCGACCTTCACCTTGCTCTGATCACCAGCAGCCACCACTTCACCAATACCCTGAAAGTGAGAGGAATACTGGATGTTATACCCTGAAAGTGAGAGGAATACTGGATGTTATACCCTGAAAGTGAGAGGAATACTGGATGTTATACCCTGAAAGTGAGAGAAATACTGGATGTTATACTCTGAATGTCAGAGTGAGTGAGTGAGTGAGTTGGGTTTAACGCCGCTTTTAACAATATTCCAGTTATATCGCGGCGTGTCAGCTTAATGTGGGAGGAAAGCCCGAAGTGATGCAGGTCTCAGACGTTTACCACTTCGGTGAAACCCACGAGCACGGGTATGGTGCTGACAAACCTAGAAACATAATTGGGGCGAACCGGGATTCGAACCCACAATCATAGGTTTCTGGCGTGCCCAAGGGACGCAACTCTGCACAGCGAATCGCGGCGCCTTAGACGACTGGGCCACCGGTGCCCCCTCTGAATGTCAGACAAACACCTGATGTAATACCCTGAATGTCAGACAAACACTTACTCATGGTGCTAGAAACCATTATGACCCCTGTTAATGGATCAGCGTACCTCTATTTTCATTCTCAGCTCCCTGCGTAGTATACAACCCGAGCTGCCTGTTGGCACCAGAAGGTTAACATTCACAATACCATCTCATCCTACCAGGTACCCATTCACTGCTATATTTCAAACAAAGTCACTTGCCTAAGGAGACACCCAAGTGTGCTATACCTTCAGTGTGGGGCAGGACGAAGCCCTAGATACACTCAGGAGTCAAGCTGCCGAACACGGTCACTAAGCCACCTTTCCTCTGCAACCGAACGTCACCTGATTGTGACCTGTGATCTGTACACACGACTACATGCCATTACGGCATGGTTAACACTTCTTAGTTGAATCATGTGATCTTGTCTGTCCTTAACGCTTAGTTCCATCCTGGTACCCGTGAAGATCCGGGGTCTTTAGCAACCCATGCTTGCCATAAAAGACAACTATGCTTGTCATAAGAGGCAACTAAAGGGATCGGGTGGTCAGACTTGGTTAATTCATGTCATTGCATCCCAATTGCGTGGATCGATGCTCATGATGTCAATCACTGGAGTGTCTGGTCCATATTCGATTATTTACAGACCGCCGTCATATAGCTGGAATATTGCTGAGTGCAGCGTTAAACAACAAACAAACAAAAGTTCCTACCTCAAAACCGATGTCGAACGGTGGTTTAAGCGTGGCATCGTATCTCCCTGCTGTGTAGTTGATGTCCGAGGCATTGATGCCCACATACCTGGAAATACATGCCTGTCACTGAACGCTGTAGCATCTCTCATCACGCTTATTGTGAGATCAAGTACAAAGTCAAAACAGTTCCAAACATTTGATGCATATTTCCAGGTCGATGAGTGAGTGAGTGAGTGAGTATGGTTTTACGCCGCTGTTTGCAATATTCCAGCAATATCACAGCGGGGGACACCAGAAATGGGCTTCACACATTGTACACATATCGGGAATCGAACCCGGGTCTTCGGCTTGACGAGCCAACGCTTTAACCACTAGGCTACGCGACCGCCCCTCCGGGTTGATGAGAGTGGATGTGGTAAATGACTTGGTTTGTGGATCTGATGGATCAAAATTTTTCAGTGTGGAATAAAAATGAAATATTGGATTTATTTTTTTATGATTCTATTTGATTACATTGGTGAACACTCATTTCATTATGGGATAAGAAAAATGGAGGCTACAGAAAGCTGTTTATATAGAGGTGAAGGACACACTTTGATTGTTTTTGCATAAATTAAAACATTTTAAAGTATGTCAAAATGAGAAAGAAAGTGACTCTTTGACCTTTCTATTATACAACATTTCTTAAAGCTGATCAAACATGTTTTGGAAAAATACTTTATTTTTTATTGACCTGTGACGCTCGACTTTTTGTTGAAAAAAACAAAATAACATTGCAAACATAAGACATTAATACAACATATATTCCCAAGTCATGGGTTTTTCGGACGCTGAAGAAACATTCATAGTTTTCTCACTAATCACGTGAACAACTGAAAAACGTCTCATTCACTTATAGGCTAAAAGACAACTTTATCTTAAAAACAGCCATCATCTGATGACTTACAATTTCTGTGTGACACCACACCCAACGTTATAGTGCAAGTATTCGTGATAGAAAACGTACGATGTCCAAAAACCTATAATCCGACAATAATAGTATTGTGTCATGAATAATAATAAAGGCGTATCTGATGCTGAAAGCTCTGATCGAAAAAAGGCCAATCCATGACGGTTGTCCTGAATCATGATAATATTTCAGAGTATTTTTTTAAGGACTACTGTTTTAAAAAAACGCAATTTTCCGCGTTTCCACGGAGATTTCACATCCCTGCTTGGAAAAGTCCTACACATTTGTATGCAAGTTTTCATCATGAGATCCCCTTTATACAGTATGTCTTTAACCTGATCAAACATGTTTTGAAAAAATACAATATGTTTTATTGACCTACGAGCCAGTGGTGCTCGTAAAAGTTGTACACAGTTGTGTGTAAGTTTTCATTATGACATACTGGTTCTGTATGAGCACATCCTTGGGGCCAGGCTGCGGAATGGGGGCCTCGATGATGGAGGTGGACTCCCTGAACTTGGGACTCAGCTGGGTACAGACGATCTTCCGCATCACTTGTGGGATCTGTCTTGATGCCATGATTGTCTACAAGAAGACAAGTGAGTGAGTGGGTGAGTGAGTGGGTGGGTGAGTGAATGAGTGGTTGGGTGAGTGAGTGGTTGGGTGAGTGATTGGAGAGTGGGTGGTTGGGTGGGTGAGTGAGTGAGTGGTTGGGTGAGTGAGTGGTTGGGTGAGTGATTGGAGAGTGGGTGGTTGGGTGGGTGAGAGAGTGAGTGAGTGGGTTGGTGAGTGAATGAGTGGTTGGGTGAGTGAGTGGTTGGGTGAGTGATTGGAGAGTGGGTGGTTGGGTGGGTGAGTGAATGAGTGGTTGGGTGAGTGAGTGGTTTGGTGAGTGATTGGAGAGTGGGTGGTTGGGTGGGTGAGTGAATGAGTGGTTGGGTGAGTGAGTGGTTGCGTGAGTGATTGGAGAGTGGGTGGTTGGGTGGGTGAGTGAGAGTGCATGGGTGATTTTGTTTGTTTGTTGTTTAATACCACACTCAGCAATATTCCATCTATATGAAGGCGGTCTGTAAATAATCCAGTCTGGATCAGACAGTCCAACGACTGACACCATGGCATCGATCTACACAATTGGGATATGATGACATGCATCAAACAAGTCAGCCTGACCACCCGATCCTCTTAGTCACCTCTTACGACAAGCATGGGTTGCTGAAGATCAGTCCTAATCCAGAATCTTCACGGGAGTCATGGTTGTCGAATGTGTGAGCAAGTGAGTGGATAGTAGTGCTTTATGGGTAACGACTTCTTTAATACTGTTTCAGTATACTGTTGTCAAGCAAGACAGTCTTTTAAAAGAAGTTGTTAACCATAAATTGTGTCTACGTTGTCATCCGTCAACTTCTAAGTAATGCCTATCCAACAATTAATAGAGCTTTGTCTGTATCTTTAAATTAAATAATTAAATCTTTTTTCATCAATAACATAATAACAACCTACATGAACAGTGCTTCATATTGTTACTGGGCTTCAATAATCAGGTCACTGACCCTCCATTTCTTATCATAGGTAGTCGGTCACATTCCCCCCGCGACATAATTGTAAGCATGATTCAGCTCAATCTCCCAGATAGCATTCAGACGTTGGCCCAACGTCGGCAATGGTTGGCAGTGTCGCGGTCGGATTTTATACGTTGGCCCAACGTTGTTACAACGTTAGGTCGCATTTCGGAAATTATTTCCAAGGGGCGCTACTCGTAATTGACAGCTTCACTAAGAGGGCGCTGCGTTTTTTGCGCCTCTCAACGAGCAGACGACGAGACACAAGCACACGTTCGATCATCGGAATACTGTTTTCCTCGAATATATGGAGGTAAGTGTTTAATCAATATCTAATATGATGTACAAACAGTACCCGAGAATAAAACAACCATTGTTCATTCAGAAATATCAACACGAGTAATTATTTTCCAGAAATTGAAAACACCACAAACTTCATGACCCGAAGCCAAATAGGAATATGTCACTCTGATTGCTTGCAAATATATAGCTTACTATTACTAGCATACCCCAAAAAAAGTCGCGCTTGTCCGTGTCATAAAGTTTGTCGTGATCGTGAGGACAAGTTAGTGCAAAGAAATGTGCACCGTGTCGCGTAAGTTCAGATGGAGTGTCGATCTCAGCTGTTTCTAACAGTTGGTGGTCACCGGACAGCGAGCGACCACATGACTACCTAAACAAACACTGACTGTGGTATTTGTAAATGAATACTGGTTGTTTCTATTCTCGTGGAAGTTTAAAAATAACAAGCAAACTCAACTGAAAAGGTCAATTTCGTTCTCGCTTGTGAAATTTTACGGTAAAAAAGATCAACTAAACTGAACAATTCAGAACGAGGCTTCCAAAACTCAAAGCATTCCGTGTACATGATAAAATAATACCATGCAGACTCCTACTGATCAGTGTACGGAGCTTTTCCCTGTTGTCGGCAACATCGCGAGTTCAGTTTTCGATCACAAATCAGTGGCCGTGGGATTGTGTTTGTTGTTATTTGAAAGGGATTGATAATGGCATAATCGCTTTTTTATTTGTGCATACCGCGGGGGAGTAATGGTTAGAACGAAGGGAACGTATTGGATTAGATTGGGTACGAAATAGTCATGAAATCATTTCCGATTGAGAATAATATATTTCAATAAATATTTACAGAGCTGTTTCAGCTTCATCTGGTGTTGTCTCCGATATCGCATTTTGTTAATTTTTCCAACGTTACTATCTTTGTAAATGTTAGAACTTAGATATCATGGCATATTTATATGGAAAATATTCATATTTATATTTTTAAAATAAAATAGAATCTAAAATCACGATTTTAATTTAATACCAGTGTTAACACTTCTATTACTTATTGGAAGGTCAATTCATAATCTTATTCAACATTCATGCTTCCAACGTTGGAACTCTTTATTTGGCAATATATAATTTTCATTTATTTGTTTATTTTTCACATCAGATTTTAGAAACTTTGCCAACATATGCATGCTATTTTGCATTATTTTTTACTTGATCACAAGTTTGTGAGGTACAGCAGAAAGGTAAAGTTATTGCTTTTGAATAATTACAGTTGATTTCTATTGGCTGATAAAACTATTTGCCAAAAATAACACCACTCACACCATACTGTTAGTAAATCAGATTTATCTCTACTGATTTATTTGAGAATGTGATACTTTGAGATTTCTATTTTTCTTTCAGGTGGAGTTTACAGTATTGTGGAAGCATATTTGTTTACATCACATCACAGCCAGAAAGGTATACATGATGCAATAATATATTTCAAACATCTTCAATAATAAAAATTTAGATGATTCTTATTTAATTACACCCCCAATCTAAAAGGGCGGGTGATCAAGTTTATCTGTCCGTCCTTCCTTCCAAAGACATTTTTGTGTGTGAGTGCAGTGCAAAGTAAAGTTTGATTTTGATATGTATATTTTCTGAAAAAAATAAGATTCTTTAAATGTTTTTGACTTCAAATATTTCTTTTTATTTCAACCTTTGTGCGACCTATCACTTGAACACTACTTCATGGATTCTTTTCCAATTATGGGTACAGTTTCTACACCCACAGGAGAGGTGCAGTGTGAAGTTTGGTTTTGATTAGTGTATTTTCTAAGAAAATATAGCTTTTGTTATGATTTGAACTTAAAATATTTTTTATTTCAACAATTGTGCTACCTATAACTTGAGATCTACTAGAGAACATGGATTCTGTCCAAATTTAACGAACACTTTTATATTAAAAAATGGGATGCACAGCAAAGGTTGATTTTGATATGTGTATTTTATTAAACAATATAATTTTTGTACATGTTTTGAACTAAAATGTTTTTTTTTTAATTCAACATTGTGCGACCTTTAACTTGAGAACTGCTGCATGGATTCTTTCCAAATTTAAGAAACACTTTCTATAGTAATAAAAGAGGTACAGTGAAAATGTTGATTTTGATATGTGTATTTTCAGAAAAAAATATGATTTGTTTCATGTTTTGAACTTAGAATTATTTTCTTCAACATTTGTGAGACCTATAACTTGATGTGCAGTGCAAAGTTTGATTTTGATAATTATGCTTTTTCTATGTTTTAAACTTTGGAAAATGAATGAGTCTTTACTCTTGTTCATTTAGTGTTAATAGCTTTTCTGCCTATCTATGATTCAAGAGCATCATGGTATTACTGTCTATGCTACCTTCCCAGTTTTAGCAGTTTTTAACAGTTTTATGACTTGGATGGGTGGAGGTAGCACTGCTGAGACTTTTTTTCATACATCAAATTATTATTTAGGGGAAGGCAACCATTTTGTATGTAAAAAATGTCCCTTGCCTTATCATTATTATAATTGTGTCATTGTTTTATTCAGTTACCAAGGCACACGAACCGTGGATACAGTTGAAGATCATCCCTGTGTTAAGTGCTTCTGACATCTGAGGATTGAAAAGGCTCCTCAACCACTCAGCCCAAGTTCTGATTTGTCATGTAACAAATAAATAAAGGTCACCGAAACCAGAATTCTATTGTCATTTTGTTGCTGTTATCATATTTTTTAATAGATCAAGTATATTGATCATAGGACATCCTATGCATGGACTATTTTGCTTGTCTCAGCGTTGCCCTAATGCTGAATGTATGGGGTAAGGCCAAGAAAAATTAAACGTTTCAATTTGTGGCAGGCTTATTGTCTGATGGTTTTTAATTTGGAAACTTGTGGGAAAATCATTTATCTTTTAATAGTGTTGAAACATTTGTGAACAATTTGCACATAGTCTTGAAAATGGTTTTGGAAAGTAAATATTATAGCACGAAATTGCACGTGTAATTTGAAACATTTTGAATTTTTTCTTGGCCCTATTTCAATCTATGTATGCTGAGGTACCCTGCCAGAAGAGAGCGCATTTCATTGGCATGTTCTTTCATGGAAAGAGTTCAGAGTGAATCTAACTTGCAGAATGTATTGCTTGTTACCTGATGTCTTAACTACCTTGGTACAAACATTTCAGGCTGCCTGGGAGGTATAGTGAGGAATAAAACAGACGTAATCCAACGTTGGCCATCAACGTTGGGCCAATGTTGGCTATCAACGTTGGCCCAACGTCATTCTGACCGGCGGCCCAACGTTGGGCCAACATTGGCTGAACATCGTTGTCCCAACGTTGGGTCAACGTTGGCCCAACGTTGGCAAAGAAACGTTGGCCCAACGTTGGGTCAACGTTGGACCAACGATGTTCGGCCAACGTTGGCCCAACGTTGGGCCGCCGGTCAAAATGACGTTGGGCCAACGTTGATAGCCAACGTTGGCCCAACGTAAGTGATAACGTTGGCCCAACGTTGGCCCAACGTCTGACTGCTATCTGGGCTATATCTGTGTATCATCTACAAAAACAAATTATACAGCTGTCACCAGGTAAGATGTTTCAGGCAAGTAAATGCTAAAAATTTAAAATGATAATGTATGGAAATTTTTTGCTGTGTCACAAATATGTCGTAGTCCTATATAGCCTACTTTTGTACAATACACAGTGAGATGCAGCTGTACTAACCTGTGGTGATCTATGCAATTAGCTTACGGTATTTTTCAGTTATTTATTGCTTTTTTAGATATTTGATTATGTGTCGAAGTACACATTCTGAAGTAGGGACAAGGCAAATTATAAATGATATATAGGCTAGTACATATACGCTATATATAACATGGTGATCATTGAGGATTAATTTTATTGAGGATTAAAATGCATTTACGATACTGAATAAATGATGGGACACATCCATATATATTGTTTGATTTTTATCAATGAACGTTTATACTGCAAAAATACTTACTTTAATAGAAGCTTACTTATGACCTAGGTTACAGGATCTCGAACATTTAGCAGGTGCTTGTCAGGTTCATAGTCCATGTAAACAAGTCTCGCAAAATCTGAGAGTAGCCTCCCATTGATAGAGCACAAAGCTCCAGTTCATTGCATGTTACATATTGTAGCTCCTCGCAGCGACATCTCAAACCAAACGCGTTGACATTCAACCCGTGTTATAAATGGACAAGCAGGTTACGGAAAGGGGCAAGTGGTGACGAATGGCGTAGACTGTCCGTCTTTCCCATCTCCGTTGTGACACTGAATTTTGATTCCGACGTGAAATAATAAAAAAAGTGGTTTATTTCCATTTTCCCTGTCGCAGTGGAAATTAATGATCCGGTCAGAGGGGTCGTGGGTCAGTTATTTCTGAAAATAGCCCCTTGCTTTTGTTCAAATTAATATTGACTATACAAAGCTCCTTGAATTCACGAAATAATATCCAAATGTGTTCAAGAGGCCCCTTGAAGAGACCATGAAGACTCTCCAGTCCCTGTGTATGCTCTGTAGGTAATTAGTTTGACGTGCACACAAGGACATTGTAAAGAGTGAAGACTATTCCACAATGGAAAATATTGTATTTAGGATTACAAGTTCATTATTGTAAAGAACATATTCTAGCACTTTTGAGGTGGAGTCCCATGCCGGAATCGAACCCACACTCTCAGAGTAAGCCATTTTGGTGACACTTTGGAGTATTCTAAAATGTAGTAAAATAAGTTTGTATTTTTTATTATAATTGTGTTCGTGTTAACGTGTGTGTGTGCGTGCGTGCGTGCGTGCGTGCGTGCGTTGTTTGACGCCGGAGTCCCCATTAGTCCAGCTAAATGATGGCGGCCCGTACATAATCGACAATCAAGTGATTGATACTGTGGGCAAAGCTCGATGCCGTTGGGGTATGGTGACCGCAATGAACCAAGACACCGATCCAAGCTTTGGTCACATAGTACCTGTAGCGCCGAATGCCCACCGGGGGCTGTTGAATGAATATTTACTGAATAGTACTTGTTTAACCTTGTGTTAGCATTTACCAGGATAATTATAAGTGGTTTGTTTTGTTCGTTTGTTGTTTAACGCCGCACTTAGCATTATTCCATCTATATGACAGCGGTCTGTAAATAATTGAGTCTAGACCAGACAATCCAGTGATTGACATCATGAGCATCGACCCACGCAATTGGGATACGATGACATGTATCAACCAAGTCAGTGAGTCTGACCACCCAATTCGGTTGTCGCCTCTTACAAGCATAGTCGCTTTTAACGGCAAGCATGGGTTGCTGAAGACATATTCTTTCCCGGATCTTCACGGGTCTAATGCCGTTGATTCATGGTAGGTTTACCAGTCAGTAAGTCTTCTGAGTTGTGAATGCTACACGCATTCTTCTAAGACTGGCCATGTCTTCGTGTGATTTAAAGTGACAAATCCCCAAGGTAATCTCTCATTAAAAATTAAAATCAGACCTTTTACTCAGACACGGCTAAATATGTGATTTTAATGATACTGATCAATACCAACAACAACATCTATTCGGATCAGCAAACAGTTTAATGTAAACCTGACGTTTATTTGCATGTAAATCGTTAAGAATACACTTGTTACATCAAACATATTGTATTCGCAAGGAAACTTGTGCCACGGTACTGCAGCTCACCTTGTTATGTAGTCAACAGTTCTGAATGTCATAATAGTCAGATGTAAGTGGCCGTCTCCATTGAAATTATTTTCAACATAGATATTTTTCAAACAAATCTCAAATATTTAACAAAATTCAACAATGTCTCTTAATTTACAATTATGAAAATAACATGTACTTACAAGGTTTCCATATTGTTTCACAAAAGATAAACTCCTCACTATAGCAAACAATCATCAGACATTCGGAATAATTCAGGCAGTAGTGTCTCAGGAATAATTTTCAGAAAATAGAAAATTGTTTTAATGACATGCTTAACAGAAGCAGCCCCATTATCGCCATTTCCATGACCTTTGACAAAAGCAAAGTCTTGCGTAGTCGGCACCTATTACCAAATGACCTTCTCATATCATGTGACATGAAACACCTTACTGTCCTAATCTTTCAGGGAATATTTCAGTTCTCTTATCTATATGGCTGTGCAATTGCCTTTGTTGATGTGAAAATCGGATTCGATCTTTTTAACATGTTCAGGGATTTTCAATGGTTCGAACAATTAAGATACAGTAACTACGATTATAACGAACACGCTTATAACGAACAGACGGATATAACGAAATGTGTTTTGATCCCGTCCATTTACTGTATTCATGATTATAACGAACTACGGTTATAACGAACTACAATTAGTGACCCTTTGCGTTCGTTATAACCGTACTTTACTGTAATTAAGAACATGGTCAAAGTTCAAAGGTAAAGAAATAATATTTGAAAAACAAGCCCCGGAATATACATGTTCAGCCCCATTACTACACATATACCAAGTTTCATTATTTGCTAAAAATATGGCTGCCGTGAAATCAGTGGTAGAAACATGCATACCAAGTTTCCGCAGTGGTTTCAGAGATAAAAATGTTTTCGATGGACGACCGACGACGCACAGGCTACGACATAAGCTCACTTGACTTTCAATCAGGTGAGCTAAAAGTAAGACGTGTTGTGTCAGGTGTTTGTTACAGTAAATATCCCAGTGTCCACACAAGCAGGACTTCCGCAACGCCGACAGGTGCCCACATTAAACCAGCACCTGATTTACTTTCACGGGAAAGAGGTGACGTCGTATTGACGTCATTTCCGGTGTCCGTGATGTTTCGCGCAAAATGTGGTACGTTGTCGTGACCTGTGACGTCCGTCCGTGTGACGTTCTGAAACGCAGTTTGCGTTTCCCCTCCTGCGATACCTCTATCATTTACAACTGGAGATATTGTTGTCATGGAAGCAGAAAGGTTGGGAACGGGACTGTTTGATCGGGGTACATCCTTCCTTTCACAGTTTTCTGAAAACAACAGTAAAAAAAACTGACATGAAAAAGTGAAACCTAAGAGCGTTGGTATCAAAAACTTTCCTAACTTCAGTTTGTACTGAAGAACAAATATTTTATTAGCCCATTGCCCCAGCGTTACGCCATAACAATTTCTTATTATGCAAAGGAATTTAACGTTCGAGACTTCTATTTTATCATAATAGGGTAACTGTGACGGTTGTACATATTTAGAGAGAAATTAAAAAAGATAGATAGGGAGAAAGATTGATACGAAACAACAGCACCTATCAAATTTTGTGCTGTTTTACATATATATAGTTAATCAACAACATACTTTGAATGGCCACCAGGTATGTCCTCGTCATCGTAGAAGCGTCTTCCATATGTAGGGCATATTTCATTTGTCGGAACAGGAAATAGTCATTTGGGGGCCAAGTCTGGGCTGTAGGGTGGGTGAGTTAACTGTAGGACTTCCAGGATGACGAGGACATAAAGGCTGCCACAGAGGCGTGGTTAGAGGGCCAATCAACGGAGTTCTATGAAAATATGAATTAAAAGCTTGATGGACAAATGGAATAAGTGTATTGAGGTGAATGGGGATTATATTGAAAAATAAAAATGCAAAAGATATTCTGCGACTAGATCTTATATTGAAGTTGCAAAACTTATTGAACGCCCCTCGTATATCCTAACAGCTAATACAGTTGTAGAAAGATGCAACCTCTTTTCTTTGAGACAAAAAAATCACTTAGAAAAACTAAATAATCGTTTCTGATAGTCTTGGGGTCATAAACAGAATTGTTATTCACAGATATTGTCATGGATTCATTTGTAGTGAGTGGCAGTGACAGCAAATGATTGAAGCGCTCGTAAAATGTCTAGTCTTGTAGTTTTCTGATTGTAACCGTTCAGTTTATTCCTATAACAACGTATAATGGCACAGGCCCATAGTACAGAATACATGGCAATGTGGAAGTGGTTAAAGTTTTTTATAAGGATTAATTTCTTATTAATATGGAACGATATATAAATAGAGATGGAATATATATTTTCTTTAAATTATCATTTTTGCTTCATTCATCTTCGACGACATTAAAGTTACATTGTCTACATAATGGGATAATATTAAATATTTTGGTATTTGTTTGGTGCCTGCCAACACGTACAATATATATATCCATGTTTGAAAGAACAAATAAAAAAACGTCTATCTAATGATGATAAAAACATGATTCTCTAAAAAAAACAAAAAGTGTGATTAGAATTTTCTCCCTTGGTTGTTTACAAACATTGCAAGCGTGATCGTTCAAGAAGTTTCGGAATGTGGCATTTCTAGAAGGCTGGCTTTCACCGAGCGACCTGACTTGAGTCTTATCTACTTGCCATGTTCTAATTGGATACCTATCTGAAGACAGCAATATAGCTACCAGCTTTCAACACTACTGCGCATTCAAGAACAGAAAATGCCTGTTTCACGCCATTTAACAGTGACAAAATTGAGGACACTCGTGAGTACTTGAATTCTAGGGCATATTGCTTCATGCACTTGTTACTGCTGCCACCTATTTATCCCATAAACCTAAAACTATTATTACACGTGTATGGTCATTTACTGGTGACACAAAATAAATCTACGTATTGATTTCTGGGTCAAGCTCTGCGTCTTAATTTTGAAATCACCGGGTAACAATATGTACAGACATATCTGGATAGAGATAGATGTAAATGATGTCAAGTGTGTTTTCAAGTTTTCTTTTACCTCAACGGAATGACATGGGGCCCACTCATCTAAGACGAAGCATGTAATTTGCTGTGCAGAGTAGCGTCCCTTGGGCGTGTCAGAAACTTATGATCGTGGATTCGAAACACGGAATTCCACATGATACCAATATTTCTAGGTTTGTCAGCACCACACCATGCTCGCGCAATTCACTAAAACCGATAACGTCTAATATCTGCATCACTTGAGGCTTTCCACCCACATGAATCAGACACTCAGTGATATAATTGAATATTGTTCAAAGCGGCGATAAACCAAACTCACCCAATCACTCACCATAATCTTATGGAGGTCCTACGCTCTGCGAAACCGGATCTGCAGAGGTTGTCATTCATCTAAAGTTGAGTGAATGCTCCAGCAATGGGACGCAACATTGTATACAAACCATCCTCTATGCTGTTTAGCGCCACACTCGTCATATTTTACAGACCGCCGTCATATAGCTGGAATATTGCTGAGTGCAGCGTTAAACAACAAACACCCACTCACTCAGAAACATCACATCGTCCTGTAAATAACTGGTTCTGGACCAGACAAACCAGGGTATGATAGTATGAGCAAACCTCCGCGTTGTCGATGTACGATGATATTAACGTAGAGACAAAGCAGACTTTTTGTAACGCCATTCCCTCACTCACTCGTATAGCGTGTGACCTTACCGTTGACGGGGACCTTCACTGACTCGCAGTTCCTAATACACTTCTGCTTCTGGGAGGCCACTTTCTTGGCAAAGTTGCAGGTCTTCGGGATCGCATCATAACACCGGAAGTCCTCTTGGTAAATGCTGAAACAAGGTAACAAATACCGAAACAACGGAATAAATATTCATTCATCATACACAACCCGAAAGACGCTTTTGTACCACAGAATATGCTTTGTTATGACTAATGAGTGAGTGAGTTAAATAGTATATTAGTTTATTATTACGAACATCAGTCTTGGAGAGAACGTCTCAGTTCCACATTAGTCGATCACTGGATACAACATCCGGACGACTGGGTGTTCAGACATAGCACACACTGTCAATAGGTTAATACCCAATGCAATTTTTGGACCACTTACCTCAGTATTGGGCAGGTTGATAATCTCTCTTAATTACTTAGATTTTGGGCCATCTTGAAGGAGACGACAAGGTTTGAGTGTTCGTAGGTTTGTTTGAAGTGTGAAAGTGGTAGTCGTCTTTTGTTTGTTGTTTAACGCTGCACTCAGCAATATTTCAGACATATGATGACGGCCGGTAAATAAATGTCTTGACCAGACAAACCAATGTTGATATTATGAGCAACGATCCACGTCGTCGGGTTGCGTTGACACGCTGTCAACCAAGTCAACCAAGTCAACCCACCGGGCCTGACCACCCCATCCCTTAAATCGCCCCTAAAGACAAGAATAGGTTGCTGGGGACCAGTTATACCCGTAATTCTGAGGGGTTTGTTAACACTGGTAAAATGAAACGGGTTAAACATGTCTTAACCTCCATATAATCTTATACAAGGGTCAAACCAGATTATGGTGCTTAATGGTCATGTGAACGAGTGTTTGTTTGTTTGTTTGTTGTTTAACGCCGCACTCAGCAATATTCCGGCTATATGACGGCGGTCTGTAAATAATAGAGTCTGGACCAGACAATCCAGTGATTGACAGCATGAGCATCGATCCACGCTTTTGGGATCGATGACATGTATCAACCAAGTTAGCAAGCCTGACCACCCGATCCCGTTAGTCGCCTTTTACGACAAGCATAGTCGCCTTTTACGACAAGCATAATCGCCTTTTACGGCAAGTATGGGTTGCTGAAGACCTTTTCATATCGTGGAATCTTCACGGGTCTGTGAACGATTGAAACTCTTATTTCCAACATGGATTCCTCTCACTGCTGGCTGAGATCCCTTCTATGGTCGAGACGAGCCCAGTGGTAAACACCCCAGTACCCGTACCATCCACCCAGTCGCCATGGGGCTCTGACCCTACCTGCAATTTTTGTTGTTGGACGCAACACCATGGGCGGTGTTTGCTCTTTTCAGACACTCCTTGTCTTCATGACATGCCTCTGTACAAGAACATTATATTTAAAACAGCAAGCAAAATGTGCCCAGAAAAGATTGTCACTACTTCACAGGTATGTGAGGTGAGGTGAGGTGAGGTGAGGTGAAATTGGGTTAGCCCCTTAATGCCGAGTGCCAGACAGGCTAACAACAAGTACCATCTTTTAATGTCTTTTAATGTTTTAATGTCTTTAATGACGCGGCCGGGGATCGAACCCCGGACCTTCCACTCTCCGGGTGAACGCTCTACCACTACACCACGGAGGCGGTCCACAGGTATGTGAACACTACGTTCCGCCATTAACTGAAAATACATTAGACCGATATGCGGTGTACTGATGTCTTGCGTCTAAATTTAGTCAGCCAATCAAAAGAGGCCGTGTATAACTGACGGAAGTGAAATGAGCCACACTCCGTGCATGAACTTTGTGCGAACCCTACCGTTCTCTGTTTGTTTTGTTTGTTGTTTTAACGCCACAGTCAGCAATATTCCCGCTATATGACGGCGGTCTGTAAATAATCGAGCCTGAACCAGACAATCCAGTGATTGACATCATTAGCACCGATCCACGCAATTGGGATCGATGACATGAATCACCAAGTCAGCGAGCTTGACCACCCGTTAGTCGCCTCTTACGACAAGCATTGTCGCCTTTTACGACAAGCATTGTCGCCTTTTACGGCAAGCATGGGTTGCTGAAGACCTATTTTACCCCGGATCTTCACGGGTCACCCTAATAGGAAATTCCTAACCACTTGCAGTTGGATGTTATCACCCAAGGTTGGGCAAACATATCTCAGGCGACTTTGAAACAAGTTCCCTGCCTCCAACTATCCTTATAGTTTGCTTGCTGTTCAGCGAGCTATATGCCGCGTGCTGTAAATAGGACCAGACAAACCAGTGATTGACATCAAGAGCATCGATCCACGCAATTGAGATACAACGATATGCGATGAACCAAGTCAGAGAGTCTGACCACCTAATCCGTTAGTCGCCTCTTTGACAAGCATAGTTTGCGGGGGACCTAATTATTCAACTTTTTAGACGAGAATAGAGTGCTGGGGATACATCCTGGTTCTACGGGGATTATTAACTTAATCACGAACCAACAATTCTTGACACCCCCCCCCCCCCCCCCCCCCCCCCCTCCCCCCCCCCCCCCCCCCCCCCCACAACCCCCTTCCAACATAAAAACACAAGCTTTGTGGTGCTGTATCCCCCTCCCCTCAAGTGTGGAATACTTATACTTACCCCTCTTTCCCATCATGTTGGGGGTATTACTTTCCAGGAACCAGTCACCCTTAGTGCACCTGCCTAAAAAAAACAAAATCACGCGAATCAGCCTGTGAGGTGAGTTCCCTTAATGTCGAGCAGTATCCTGCTGGTCCAGCCTTTAGTGTTTACATTTCACCATTTTGAGGTACAACCAAGCATGCTCCTTCTACAACGATTCCAAAGAGTGTCATTCGATCCCTGTTCAGAAGCTGTTTGGTCAAGTTACAACATTCAAAGCCTCACCATAGCTTTCAAAAAGGTTAATGGTAGCCACGTGGAGGACATTTCCAAATTTGACGCATCATTGACAAATATTTTGTTAAATAATTTTGTATTTGTTGCATTTAATATAGTCTTTACAAACATAAAAGCAATGACCTTGTTACAGAAAAAGTGCATGATAAGCAAAATTGATAGACTCTGAACTCCCACCCATAAGTGCTGTACACTTCGAGATGGAGTAATACTGCTTAAGTTCATTCTGGAAGATCTGGAACGATGGAATATGTTTTGTATCTTTACGAGAAAAAATAACATTTTTGCAAAGAATGATTATAAGATTTATGGGTCATTACTTCCGGATTGGTAGCCAAGCAAAACACAATGATATTACTTTGATTTGAGCGGTGGTTTCTAGTCAAAGTTTCAGTTATGTCCAGACTATTTTTGCTTTGCTGCAATCCCAAAACATGTGTTCAAACGTTTCTTTGTCTGTCACAAAGGCTAAATGTATTTCTGTCTACATATTCTGTTTTGAACAATATATTATTAGTAGACAGGATTTGTTTTGTTTGTTTGTTGTTTAACGCCGCACTCAGCAATATCGCAATATATGACGGCGGTCTGTAAATAAGTGAGACTGGACCAGACAATCCAGTGATAGACCTATGAGCATCGATCCACGCAATTGGGATAAATGACCATGGCCTGTAAACAGTAAACCACTCGCGTACAGCCCTGACAAGCCTGTGGTTGACACTTACCTTTGTCACACTGGAGTTTATTGCAAGATCTTTTCGTTCTTGTCAAGGCAGTTACTTTACACTGACGACTCATGGAGGTTGAGTTTGAAAAGCATCTCAACAGGCTTTGGTAATACCTACAACAGCAAATACATCATTAGATCAGTGGGCACTGGGTTAGCCTGATGGTTAAAGCGTTGGTCTGTCACACCTGATATCAGCACAGGGTGTTCCGGATGGGAAGGACAATCAGCCCATTTTTTCGAACACCTGGTTTTAAGTGATCCATTCATAGAATTCTGCCCCACACTCCGTCGCAGTGGTGACTCAGCATAACACCACTGCCACAGGCTAATTTGCATATCACGTGACCGGACTTTTCTCTTGTTTGTAAACAAACGCGCTTTTTTCAGGAATAAGTATAGAACGGACTAATGCAAGTATTTGGGGGGGGGGGGGGGGGGGGGGGGGCTTTACATATTGTTTTGCATAACTATATAGATATGCTACTACAACTGCGACAGTGAGTTGCATGACAATATATATTTATGCATCAAAGTGACCGTGTCGCTAGCTCTCCGTTGGGCTTCGATGACAGCACGTGGAGCCGTACAACCAATGTAAACATAGGATCACTACGCACAAACAAGTAGATGTTTACGTATTTGCATACTTTCTCAATGAAAGTTAACCATTCTTTGACATTTGTTTATGAAAATGTGTAGACTTGTCAGAAATGAAACGGATGAAAAGCATATGCAATATCTTGAATGGACTGTGAAAGATGTGACGAATCGTCACATGGCGCTTGCCTGTGGGAGAGGTACTGTGCTAGCTGGCTGCCGGCCGCATGGAACTCTGGGTAGGAGAGTGATTCTGCCCATAACGTCCTATGGAATCTTATGATATTTGCGACTCATGTTGTCCGGCTATGATATACTGAACAACAAAAGTTCCTGTGACATTGAATAAGATTTAATGCAAAGTAATGTTTTTTACCAAATCTGAAACAATTTCGGTTTGCAACAGATAAAAGACTCCTGTGAGTGTTCAAATGGTTTAATTTGCCATACTGACTTCAGAAAATGCGTGATTTCATAAAACAAAAAATGAACATTCCAACATGTCAATTTACAAATCAATAGCGTGTGTGTCCACCTCTGGTTGCAATGCAAGCAGTACATCTTCGTCTCATGGAATGGACCATGCGTCGCACAAAGTCCTGTGGGATATCTGTCCATATCTGCTGGAGCATGTTTCGAAGTTCCTGGAGTGTCTGTGGAACACGTGGTTGACGTCGAAGGCGCCGATCTATCTCATCCCACATGTGCTCAATTAATGAGAGATCAGGGGAGCGAGTCGGCCAGGGGATGACATTCACGTTGTTTTGTTGAAGAGATTCCTGAACAAGTCGAGCAATATGAGGCCGGGCGTTGTCATGTTGAAAGGTAATGCCTGGGCCATGACGACGCAAAAACGATAGAACAACAGGGCCGATGATCTCGTCGCGGTAGCGCCGTCTGTTGAGATTTCCCTCTACCACTATCAAACGGGACCTCTGTCTTGCTGTAATCCCACACCATACCATAACGCTGCCGCCCCCGAATCGATCTTCTTCCATGATACAATGATTGACGTAACGTTCACCCCGACGTCGGTACACTCGAATCCATCCATCGCTGTGGCTGTGGTCAGTGAATAGAACTTGTCCCCACTGCATGACCGTCCAACGTAGACGCTGTCTGCACCACTGTAGACGTGCTTGACGGTGGTTTCCTGTCAAATGGGACGTCTGGCGGGTCTTCTGGCGACAATCCATGTACATCTGAGGCGGCGACGTACGGTTTGTGAAGATATTCGTCCAAGGACAGGGATGCATCTAGCAGTCACTGTTGCTGGCTGGAATCGATTTCGTAGGTGTATTGTTCGAATCCAGTTGTCTTGTCGATTATTGGTTACGCGTTGCCTGTCACTCCGAGGATGGTCTCTGAATGCATTCGTATGTTGCCAACGTTGCCAAAAACACCAAATGGTGTTTCTGTGGACGTTAAATTGTCTTGCAACATCATGTTGACTCGATCCTGCTTCAAGCATACCAATGGCTCGCAGACGCTCATTTTCGGACAGGCGTGGCATTTCTTAATGTTGAATAATTGCGCAATTTTGTTGTTTTTCTGAGTGGTTGTTGTCAGCACGATGCTAAACAATGCATATGGAATCCCGTTAACGCACATGTTTTTAGACCCATTCTTGGGCAGTGAAGTGCATGGATCTTGCATAAAAGTCAACTTTTGCATGGAATGCATGCTTTTCTGTAGCAGTTGCGTTTTTGTGACTTGATTCCATACATGTACTACAATATTGAAAACCAAACTTTACTTGTTTGAAAAATACACTTAATTATTGGCGTCACAGGAACTTTTGTCGTTGAGTATATTTTGATCACTTTCTTTGATAGGCGTTTAGAAGTTGGAGTACTAGGTAAGGATAAGATTTATGGATGAACAACTTTTTTATTACAATTAAGAGCGACGTTTCGGTGTATGTTCTAACACTGTTTTCGGTGTTGTACAGAGAGTGGCTGACAAGTATGTATACAGGTAGGAGGCAATGTTTATACAGTAAGGTAGATATCAGGTGTAGTTATACTGGAGTGGTGGTGGTGAGGAGGGGGGGGGGCACGGTTGGCCCAGTCGTCTAAGGCGCCGCGATTCGGCGTGCAGAGTTGCGTGGTAAACCTGCATCACTTCGGGCTTACCTCCCACATTAAGCTGACACTCCGTGATATAACTGGAATACTGTTAAAAGCGGCGTTAAACCAAACTCTCACTCACTATACTGGGGTGGAGAAGCCTGTTAAGCCTGGCGCATGCTCAAAGCGCGATAATTACCCCGGTCGGTGGATCAGTGCACACGCAAGAATCATTCTCAGCTCCCTGGGGAGTATACAACCCAAGCTGCCTGTGAGGCGCTAGAAGGTTAATAACCATCTCATACTACCGGGTACCCGATCACTACTGGGTGAACAGAGGCACATTACGAACAAAGTCACTTGCCAAAGGAGACGCCACATGTGTTTCCGTGTGGGGCGGAGTCCTAGCCCTAGAAACTCAGTGTGGGGCGGAGCCCTAGCCCTAGAAACTCAGTGTGGGGCGGAGCCCTCGCCCTAGAAACTCAGTGTGGGGCAGAGCCCTCGCCCTAGAAACTCAGTGTGGGGCAGAACCCTCGCCCTAGAAACTCAGTGTGGGGCGGAGCCCTAGCCCTAGAAACTCAGTGTGGGGCGGAGCCCTAGCCCTAGAAACTCAGTGTGGGGCGGAGCCCTAGCCCTAGAAACTCAGTGTGGTGCAGAGCCCTCGCCCTAGAAACTCAGTGTGGTGCAGAGCCCTCGCCCTAGAAACTCAGTGTGGGGCGGAGCCCTAGCCCTAGAAACTCAGTGTTGGGCAGAGCCCTCGCCCTAGAAACTCAGTGTGGGGCGGAGCCCTAGCCCTAGAACCTCAGTGTGGGGCGGAGCCCTAGCCCTAGAAACTCAGTGTGGTGCAGAGCACTCGCCCTAGAAACTCAGTGTGGGGCGGAGCCCTAGCCCTAGAAACTCAGTGTGGAGCGGAGCCCTAGACCTAGAAACTCATTGTGTTGGGCAGAGCCCTAGCCCTAGAAACTCAGTGTGGTGCAGAGCCCTCGCCCTAGAAACTCAGTGTGGGGCGGAGCCCTAGCCCTAGAAACTCAGTGTGGGGCGGAGCCCTAGCCCTAGAAACTCAGTGTGGGGCGGAGCCCTAGCCCTAGAAACTCATTGTGTGGGGCAGAGCACTAGCCCTAGAAACTCAGTGTGGTGCAGAGCCCTCGCCCTAGAAACTCAGTGTGGGGCGGAGCCCTAGCCCTAGAAACTCATTGTGTGGGGCGGAGCCCTAGCCCTAGAAACTCAGTGTGGGGCGGAGCCCTAGCCCTAGAAACTCAGTGTGGTGCAGAGCCCTCGCCCTAGAAACTCAGTGTGGGGCGGAGCCCTAGCCCTAGAAACTCAGTGTGGGGCGGAGCCCTAGCCCTAGAAACTCAGTGTGTGGGGCGGAGCCCTAGCCCTAGAAACTCAGTGTGGGGCGGAGCCCTATCCCTAGAAACTCAGTGTGGTGCAGAGCCCTCGCCCTAGAAACTCAGTGTGGGGCGGAGCCCTAGCCCTAGAAACTCAGTGTGGGGCGGAGCCCTAGCCCTAGAAACTCAGTGTGGGGCGGAGCCCTAGCCCTAGAAACTCAGTGAGGGGCGGAGCCCTAGCCCTAGAAACTCATTGTGTGGGGCAGAGCCCTAGCCCTAGAAATTCAGTGTGGTGCAGAGCCCTCGCCCTAGAAACTCAGTGTGGGGCGGAGCCCTAGCCCTAGCCCTAGAAACTCATTGTGTGGGGCAGACCCCTAGCCCTAGATACTCAGTGTGGGGCGGAGCCCTAGCCCTAGAAACTCAGTGTGGGGCGGAGCCCTAGCCCTAGAAACTCAGTGTGGGGCAGAGCCCTCGCCCTAGAAACTCAGTGTGGGGCAGAGCCCTCGCCCTAGAAACTCAGTGTGGTGCAGAGCCCTAGCCCTAGAAACTCATTGTGGGGCAGAGCCCTCGCCCTAGAAACTCAGTGTGGGGCAGAACCCTCGCCCTAGAAACTCAGTGTGGGGCGGAGCCCTAGCCCTAGAAACTCTGTGTGGGGCAGAGCCCTCGCCCTAGAAACTCAGTGTGGGGCGGAGCCCTAGCCCTAGAAACTCAGTGTGGGGCGGAGCCCTAGCCCTAGCAACTGTCAGGAGCCAAGGCGGGCACCCCTCCAAGGACTCTCCGTGACCGACCTAATTTGTGGTCTGTGCGTCATGAAATATTTTACAGGCTTGAAGGTCAAAGATATGGCTCTTCTTAAGCAGTGCGTGAGTGAGGACATCAAGGTTATGCGTGAGAAAAATGATCGAGAGGTTTGTCCTTGCGCCGTCGGGGAAAAACACGGAAACTATTTACAAACGAAAGAAATGGTCAAAACGTTTTAAGCACGAATTCAACGAACCTGTTTACAATGAAGCTACTTTTCGGCAAATTGTACAACAGGTATTTTGACCGAATAAAAACATTACATTACCATGTCATTTATGAAGAGGCACGCCATAAAACAAATTCTCTTGATGCAATGTCTATACATGTGTAGCTAGAGATAAGAGGTTCCAACACAATAGGCCACAGAAAGTGAATAATATTTTTTAATATAAATTTGCCAAATACAATCAATATATAATTCTAATTCTGAACTGAACCCAATATTGGTGTATGGGAATTTCCAAATTTGACGAACCAGTTTTCAAAGTGATGTCTATGCAATCCTCTATTTTGACATGTGCCATTTGTTCCAGGTGAACATTTGACTTGTCTTTGCATGTGTTTGTGACGGGTGCCACCGGTGGGGCAGGATACGCTCCCATTTTCGCGAGCACATGGTATATGCACAACTTGAGAGTGATTCCTAAAGATATGCTTATTATACAGTCGTAATCGTACAATGACCTGCAAGAGGCGACTAACGGGATCGGGTGGTCAGGCTCGCTGACACGGTTGATGAATGTCATCGATCCAAATTGCGTGGATTGATGCTCATTTTGTCAATCACTGGATTGTCTGGTCCAGACTCGATTATTTACAGACCGCCATCATATTGCTGGAATATTGCTGAGTGCGGCGTTAAACAAACATTTAGCAGATATTTCTTATAATTTTGAAAAGATTTTGTGGATTTGTATTTACACGACCGACTTTATATTGCTTTATTCGGCACAATTTTCTCCATTCACTAACATGCGGATCCGAATTCTCTATTCAATGTTTGTTCATCATCTCTGTATTTCTGTATTTGTCAGACGAATCCTACATGAGAAGTAATCAAATGGTCACGGTTTGTGTAATGGTTACATGAAACATAGTCTACATACAGACATTTCGATTCTGTTTGGTGAGAGATCGCCCGCTCAAAGTTTTTTTGACACTTCCCGGCTTGGTCGTAGCAGTCTTTTTGGAACGCGTGGACAGCTGAAATGATGAAATACTTGACATATACATATAGAGTACAGCTGACGGTGCATCTGTACAAAAGGTGAGGTGAGGTGAGGTGAGGTGAGGTGAGGTGAGGTGAAATGGGGTTTAACGTCGCGTCCAAGATTATTGCACTTATATAGCGACGTGCATGGTTGGTTGGTTTGTTGTTTAACGCCGCACTCAGCAATATTCCATCTATATGACGACGGTCTGTATATAATCGAGTCTGGACCAGACAATCCAGTGATTCATATCATGAGCATCGATCCACGCAGTTGGGATCGATGACATGCATCAACCAAGTCAGCGAGCCTGACCACCCGATCCCGTTAGTCGCCTCTTACGGCAAGCATGGGTTGCTGAAGACCTATTATACCCCGGAATCAATAGTATCCCATGGCATTGGTTTCTCGTGATAACAGAGGTTTGTCGTTCAATGTTTAACGTTCGAACAAAACAAATAACTGTGTTTGAGTATATATTTGGTAGTTATTTAAGTGATGTATTTGTTTTGTGGTAATTCCTGACTCTGTGAGGTGGTGGGGTAGCCTAGTGGTTTAAGCGTTCGCTCGTCACGCCGAAGACCCGAGATCGATTCCCCATATAGGTGCAATGTGTTAAGGCCAATTCTGGTGTCCGACGCCGTGATATTGCTTGAGTGAGTGAGTGAGTTGGGTTTAACGCCGCTTTTAACAGTATTACAGTTATATCGCGGCGTGTCAGCTTAATGTGGGAGGAAAGCCCGAAGTGATACAGGTCTCAGACGTTTACAACTTCGGTGAAACCCACGAGCACGGGTATGGTGCTGACAAACCTAGAAATATAATCGGGGCGAACCGGGATTCGAACCCACAATCATAGGTTTCTGGCGTGCCCAAGGGACGCAACTCTGCACAGCGAATCGCGGCGCCTTAGACGACTGGGCCACCTGTGCCCCCAGATATTGCTGGAACGATACACACTCACGTATTAAGCCATTAAGGGGGTAAACGAAGACAGTACACCTGTCCGAGTTTGGTATTCATGTTATATTGCTGCATGGCATATAAGCGGACTAGCACTATAAAACGCCCATTAGTCTGGGCTAGTGTAGCGTTAAATAACAAACAAACAAAACAAAAAATTAGTCTTACGATAGACCAACAATGCGGACACTATCTACCCCGGGTCCCAACTTGTTGCAGGAACGTGTATGAGTGAGTGAGTATGGTTTTACGCCGCTTTTAGCAATACTCCAGCAATATCACGGCGGGGGACACCAGAAATGGGCTTCACACATTGTACCCATGGCGGGAATCGAACCCGGGTCTTCGGCGTGACGAGCCAACGCTTTAACCACTAGTCTACCCGACCGCCCCGGAACGTGTATGAAGGAACGTGTATGAAATTTTCAATGCAAACAAGAAGGAAATGTAATAGATATATCAGCCTATTTGAATAATACACGTGTGTGTGTCATTTCATATATCTTATTGTACTAAACAAAAGGGGAGGTCAGGTAGCCTAGTGGTTTAAGCGTTCGCTCGTCACGCCGAAGACCCGGGTTCGATTCCCGACATGGGTACAATGTGTGAAGCCCATTTCTGGTGTCCCCCGCCGTGATATTGCTGGAATATTGCTAAAAGGGGCGTAAAACCATACTCACTCACTCACTCACTAAACAAAATGGTTGGTCCTCAAGTTCACGAACAACAAACAAACAAACAGTTAAGGGAAAGATGCTCTCATAACTTATCCATAACCTTTTAAAGACAGATATAAAAGATTACATACAAATACGATCGTGTTACGATTCAACAAGTAGGGAAATAATGTCATAAACAGGCATCACATACCTCCACAAGTCAGGACGAGAATTAACGCAACCAGCACCGCCATGTCAAGCAGCAAGGAGTGACTGACAGACGGAGCAGCACTCATGTCGACCTTGAGACTGACGTGCACCACACGATTAAGCAGGTCTGTAGCGTGACGGCTGGCATTACGAAGGCAACGTAATGGCGGCCTCTCTTGAGCGTGGCAGAAACTTATGATCATTGTCCGAACTTACGATTCGTCCTGATTATAATCCCTGGTTTGCCGACACAATACCCGCTCGGGAATTTAACAACGTGGTTTTCTATCCGTGACGATTCGGGTTGGAATTGATCTGCAGCAGCCCATGCTTGTCCTAAGAGGTGACTAACGTCATCGGATGGTCAGGCTCACCATCTTGCTTGCAGGTAATCGTGTCCCAGTTACGTAGATCGATGATGCGTCAATCACTGGATTATCTGGTCCACAGGAGATTAGTTACAGGTACACATCAAACAAAAAGAAACAAAAGCTCTCTGCCGTGCCTGACGCTGAATATAAAATGTCAATGCCAGAGAATAACCAGTCTCGATTATCCGCCGAAATAGATTCCATCGGGCGTAAATGCCCGAATAGCGGTGAAAATAATATAAACGAATCACTGAAAATCAATGCAACCAGCTGTTCGCGAAAAGGGTAAGCGTGTCATGCTCTATCGGTCGAACCATGTTTCAACCATGAGCTATATGAAATACTCATATCCCCCGCCAATATGACATGTCCGGTTGTGTGCAATGCATTAGCTCCTGTGAACTATGTTCACTGGACCTTTTTGAAAATGGCCTAATTACTAGCACTAAAAACGTTACTACTGGTGTTGTTTTGCCATCTGCAGTTTATGATAGAAAACGTAACTGTATTTGTAATGAGTTGTGTTATTACTTAAACAATAAACAGAGAAGTAAGGGAGTTCTTACTTTACTCAGAGATTATTAAGAGCAGGGGTCACCATGAGGTGTACTGAGAAGTACAGCACCAATCATCTAATGATCTGAGTAGTAGACTGGAGTCTGGAATGCTACAGCACTGGCATGATCAGTAAACAAGTCCAGTGTAGCTCCATGACAGTGAGTTTGCTGAGTGAACGAGTTTAGTCATTTTCCGCACATTAAAGAAATCTTCAAGTTTCAGGGTTTTTTTCATGTTAACCCCATGCACTGCGATGAAGTAGGCTGGTTCGTTCGGGTGCCACTTGTAAATTGTGGCTACCGCCATTTTCAGTCTGCATGGTATTGTGGTATTGCATGGTTTTCAAGATCTGTGCCAAGTTTGGTGATTTTCAGTCTAAGTCAAAGTCGTTGCAAGGGAAACACGAAACATCGTCGCTTTTTTTAAAAATCCCGAAGTGTCAAAAGGCACCGGTTTTCCACTAGACCTATCTATGTGCCAAGTTAAGTTAAGATATCTCTCATGGTTTTTGAGTTCTGCTCCGGAACGGAACGTGACGGACGGACGGACGGCACCCATTCCTATATCCCCCTTCCACATCGTGGCGGGGGATAATAAGCATGAAACAAGCATGTAATTTAAATGCAAAACTAACAATTTATGATACAGACCAATAAGATATTGAAAACTAAGATGTCCACTTCATGCTTTATAATAGGACTTCCCTGTTAAGATTAAGATGATGATAGCGGAAATGATTTCGTCACTTGCCAACATGTCTGGTAACCCCCAAAAGGCGCTGACGCATTGGATATTTGAAAAATCGTAACGTTGATCTTCAATCTCTAGAACTCTAGACTTACTGGTTGATTCAAGGACACACTTGGATGTGAACAGTGTATTAATTCTTTGTTCTAGTATTCATGTCTTCTTTTGATACAGATCAAAACTGTTAAATAGTTTTTGTCTTATCTTACCTTAACAGCTCAGCTATTATTTGGGATAACGGTTTTGGATTCAATAACATTGGCACATGCAACATTGCCACTATCCTTGGACCCGTCAATACAAATGGATATTTGGGAATCATACATGGCTGGTAATTGGTCATATTCATTTTAGTAAGTTAAAGGATTAGTTTCTGACTTGTTTAAGTTGAGTGAGAGTAAGATTGGCTTCACCAACTGCCAAGGGGTAAACGCAGGGGTCTTCTGGACTGTGGGTCAAGTACCGTCAAACGAGTGGGGTTGCCATGAGACCTGGGTGTGGCAGGCCTACAAAGCGATGCCTAGACAAGATCGTCCCCTCACATTAATTGCACTACGCAATGTATACAGTACTGCTCCTGGTGTCCACAGAGAAATCCTACAATAACAGGAAGGCGAATTTCAACATCAACCGTGAAACCCTGCTTCACGCAGCCCACATGAAAGCAATCTGTGCGTCCTGTGAAGGGTGGAACCCTTACAACTTACCACAGGCGGCAAAGGTTCGGGTAGGCCAGGTAACACCAGGGACGGGTTCTGCGCCAATGGCGATACACCGTGCTTACAGGCGAATCAGGACTTTGCCTCCTATTCACAGATGACAGAAAACGTTGTTGGCGACGTAGAGACGAGCGGTGTGCCAAGGCAACAATTCTTGACTATGATTGGCATGGGGCGGTAGTGTCGTGGTGTGGGGCGGTATCACACATGACAGCCAGACTGAATAGGTAATTGTGAATGGAATATGACTGGCCAGCGATATGTTGACGAAATTCTGCGTCCTGTCATTGTCCCACTCCCCCTGTTCTATATCCGACTTTGAGTATCAGGCTCAAACTACTTCCCCTATTCTATATCCGATTCTTGAGCATCAGGCTCAAACTACCCACCGTATTCGGTATCCGATTCTTTAATATCTCCCTCAAACTTCTCCCCCTGTTCTATATGGGATTCTTGAGGATCGGGCTCAAACCACTCCCCCTTTCCTCCATCCAAATGTTTTACTTGCAGCCTAAGTCTTCTACGCCTATACTATATCCCATTATTTAGTGTCAGGCTCAGATTTCTCCCCCCTTCTTACATCCTATTTTTAAGTATTAGGGTCATATTTCTCTCGCTATTCTGCATGTATGATTTAATTATCAGGCTCAGATTAGTCCCTCTACTTACACCCGATACTATGAAGCTAAAACAACTTCACTACCTTGCTCAGATTACTCCCCCTGTCAGGTTCAGACAACTCACTTTGTCCTCTTTTTGATTCCTTAGCAACAGCTTCAGCAACTTTACCCCCCATATATATTATGTATATGATATATGGTTCTTGTTTTCCTGTATATGACCTCTTCCTGTCAGTTAAAACAAATTCCCTAATTACTTGGTAAATTTTGACTCACAAACAACAAATACCACGTTGGACAGCCTATTATAAAATTCACCTGGTAGGTAAATATATCTGATTTTATTTACTCACAGTTTATAATGCGCAGTTACCGAGATTAAGTGTATTATATTGGCGAGTCGCTGCACTAAAAACAATAGGTAACTTAAATAAAACCCATGATATATTTTAAATTTACAAGACGATTAGTTTTCGTGTATAAGGAGACATACGTGTAACAACCACCTATTAGCCAATAGAACAATGACCGCGCCGACTTCGTACACAAAAAATAATTTCTGAACACAAAGCACACTTAAACTTCACTTTAAGGTAAGTTGACGATAAAAATAACCTAAAAAAGGAAACGTATTAACATGTCACATTAGGTAAAGTCAGTTTTTTCATATGTTTTAAAAATATAGATTTCCATTAATTTTGTTACATAATGATCGTGCATGCATATCAACATTTTCATATCATGAAGAAATAAGATTACCAAACAGGTCAAGGTGCCAATATAATTATCCTTCTAAAAACATTACAGACATTACAATCATACATCAGGTGCAGTATTATTTGAAATACAAAGTTAATAAATCAAACAGGATAATGAAAACAAATATTTTCTTAGTTAAAAAACAAATATTGCAGTAAAGCGTCAATATCACATCATATCCAGCCATTATGTCAGAAAACAAAGTTGCTGATATGTAACAGTATTTAAAAAGTCTCAACGAAATGACTTTATACTGTCCTTCAAATTTATCACATAAGATCTTATTACGCAAAACATCTGGTAATTTCACAATACGTAAAGCATCGGGTGCAATCATCGAAAATACTGTGCTGTATCATCCAAAATATATTATTCACAGACTGTTGCACAATTAGTGTCAAAACGTGTACTCTTCAAACCAATTGGGGGGAGTCATTTGAGCCTGGGGTGTCATCTGAGCCAACGACGGGGCAGTCGTTGGGGCCTAAGGGGAGTCATCTGAGTCTTGGCAGGAATGGACACCTTGGGGACTATTCTCGACACCCCCCCCCCCCCCCTCTCAGCAATATTCCAGCTATATGACGGCGATCTGTAAATAATCGAGACCCGACAATGTGAGCATCGATCCTAGCAATTGAGATCGATGACATGCATCAAACCAAGTCAGCGAGTCTGACCACCCGATCCCGTTAGTCGCCTCTTACGACAAGCATAGTCGCCTTTTACGGCAAGCATGGGTTGCTGAAGACCTATTCTACCCCGGATCACGTGTTTTGATTTCCAAATAGCGATTAAATAGTTTTAATCAGACATGACCAACTGCATACTGAATACTGCACGACACGAACACGTTATGATGCAGCCTTTAACCGAGGGAGCACCCAGAGCACAAGTGTCCCTAGTATACAAAGTCACTGTGCAGATTTGCGTCTATAATACCCCGTTCATATGCATAAGTATGTATTTTTGTATATGTGGGTAAATATACATACGTGAGTATACTTATACATGTCATGTGAACTCATGTGTGTATATTTACACAAGGAGCACATTTGCATCTGGTGCATGTCTGGAGCAGGTGCAAATGTAAATTTGCACTGTATGTATATGTTGTTACGTGAACGCTTATACCAACGTCAAGGGATGATCTAAGTGATGTATCTGATTTACCAACACCAAACCAAATTGTCAACAGTTCTGTGTTCTGAAGTTGACGTTATACACTGTACATCAGTACTAACGTGTATGCGGACATCCAAAGCTTGGCGGACTATGTCTTCTTTGGGTTTCAAGGAGTCAAACCAATTGTGCACAGATTAAATTAAACACATTTTGCTTCATGTGAAGATTTCTGTAAGGTAACTCTCTCCCCATTAGACATGGATTGGAAAGCAACCTTTTTATGTTGAAAGTCAACAGACCGATGGCTATTTGTGCCCAACACCATTTACATACCGCACGATATCAATCACTGGATTGTCTGGTCCAGACTCGATTATTTACAGACTGCCGTCATATAGCTGGAATATTGCTCTGACTGCGGCGTTAAACAACATACATATCTTATTTACACACCTAAGTTAATTTGTATGTGAACGCATAGTAAATTTGCATATACACACGTATGTATGGTAACATATGTACAAAATTACTTACGTGAGTTAAAACTGTGCATAAGGCACGGGGAAAAGGCATTCCAAAAAACGATCATGGGTTTGAATTTCACATTCGCCCTGATTCTGTTTTTAGGTACGTCTTCACCAGACCCGTGCTCGTGGGTTTCACCAAAATGAATTGTTTGATAAGCTTTACTTAGAAGGTGACGGATGACAAGGTAGACACAATTTTATGGATAACAACTTCTTTAATACTGTGAAAAGCGACGTTTCGGTATAGATCCTTATACCGTTGTCAAGCAAGACTGAATGAGGGACATAGTACAGAATATATATAGTAGGTGGAGGATTAACAGTAACAACAATTGCATACATTAGTGGGATAACATTGGTAGTTGTTGACAACAAAGGGATGATGCTGTCACAACACGATGGACAGAGAACACATAGGTGGAAGGCAATGGGACATGAAGCCAATAAACAGGATAAGTGATTATTGCTTGATGAGTTCATAGCAGGCGGATGGGATGAAATAGCCTTGACCTCTGATGATTGATGGCTTGTGGCGGCGAATGTGGACTACTTCTGTTAGTTTTCTCTTAGTGAAATCATGAAAGTTGTTGGCGAGGATTTGGACGTTGTCCCAGTTGATGTTGTGATTGGGACAGTTGCTGATATGGTCCGAGATGGCTGATTTGCTGTCGGATTTAATGGTGGGGGTTTTGTGCTCTTTCATTCTGGTGTTGATTGGGCGGGATGTTTCACCTACGTAAGATTGTCCACAGTTGCAGTCAATTTTGTAAACTACACCTTTAGCCTCTTGGGGTTTAGATGTGTTCCTGCCGTTGGCTCTTAGCAGGGTGTTGAGGGAGTTGGAGCTGGTGAAGTGGGTGTCGATGTTGGCTTGCTGTTTGAGGAGGCAGCTGATGATGTGGGAAGCTTTTCCTATGAACGGGAAAACTCCCATCGCTTTGAACAAATTCCTTTTATACCGCGATACACTGTATTGTTTCACTATAAGGTATGTCGATGTTTTCTTATTTTTTCCGTCATTTCGGTTCATAGGTTTGATAAAACATGCCTCCTCGGTTTCGGTTGAAAATGTAATACCTTGACCTCTCCCGCGGTTTTACATTTTCAACAAAAACCTCGGAGGCGTGCTTTATGCTATACATCACTCCGTTAGCAAATGTTCACGGATACGCCATTGCACAACAGAAAACAAGACGGCATGACACTATACACCGAGCCAGCATCGGACACAACTTGTGTTGGTGTTTTCAACACAAGTTCACAAGTCTTGGAGGCTGTGTTGAAGTTAAATCCATGGCACTTGTGTTCACGATAACACTTGTTGGTACAGTCGCCCTGAGTTGAATCATTGACGATTCTCTTGTCGACAGACTCGACGACTATGTACATCCCCTGGACGATGTCTATAGCTGTGTTGGTGCATTGCGTAGTGTCTGTAAAAAAACAATCGTAAGTTGAATATTTATTAACACATGACTGCAAGGGGGTGAATAGTCTGTTTGTTTGTTTGTTGTTTAACGTCGCACTCAGCAATATTCCAGCTATATGACGGCGGTCTGTAAATAATCGAGGCTGGACCAGACAATCCAGTGATTGACATCATGAGCATCGATCCACGCAATTGAGATAAGATGACATGGATCAACCAAGTCAGCGAGCCTGACCACCCGATCCCGTTAGTCGCCTCTTACGACGAGCAGTCGCCTTTTACGGTAAGCATGGGTTGCTGAAAACCTATTCTGCCCCGGATCTTCACTGGTCGAAGAGTCTGTAAAAATAGCTACAATTGAATTTGTTTGGTATCCCACTCAGAATACTACACTCGTTCTCGTTAGAAACCAAACTAGGCAACGAACATTGCAATTTAAAATGGCTGCATTAGCGTAGGTCTCGGCTAAGACACATGGGTCTACCTGTATCTGTTTCAGATATATGGATACAACTCGATTGTACTACTTCTTGACTGTATTTGGTGTTTTGTTTCACCATTTCATTGTTTGACATGTTTGTTGGTTGACCTTTCAAGTTCATAGAAGGTCATGGTTATCCAATTAATTCGAATCAAATAACCTCAACCAATGTGGACGACTCAAGAACCATTCTCAGCTCCCTGGGGAGTATACAACCCACGCTGTCTGTTAGGCGATGTCTGTTACCGGGTACCCATTCACTGCTGGGTGAACAGAGGCCTATATTCGAACAAAGTCACTTGCCCCAGGTTGGTTGGTTTGTTTGTTGTTTAACGCCGCACTCAGCAATATTCCAGCTATATGACGGCGGTCTGTAAATAATCGAGTCTGGACCAGACAATCCAGTGATTAATATCATGAGCATCGATCCACGCACTTTGGATCGATGACATGCATCAAATAAGTCAGCGAGCCTGACCACCCGATCCCGTTAGTCGCCTTTTACGACAATCATAGTCGCCTTTTACGACAAGGATGGGTTGCGGAAGACCTATTCTACCCTGGAATCTTCACGGGCCCACTTGCCCAAGGAGACGCCACATGTGTTACATGTGCTTCAGTGTGGGGCATGACCGAAGCTCTAGAAACTCTCAGGAGCCAAGGTGCCGAAACGCGGTCACCCATCCAAGGACTCCCAGTGACCGACGTTGCTTGACTTCACCTGATTTGCGACCTGTGCCGCCACAAAACACAAATCTGAAACATACGGTGGCCCATAAGGGACATGGAGTCTGTTTTTCAATATTTTGATGTTTCACTTATACTTTTATCGTAACCTTTTGCAAATTAACACAATTTGTCATAAACAACAACCGAAAACATGGAAAATGTACTTTCAAGTAGCTATTGAGTCGCTGAAATGTGAAGCGAAAATATCAAAAACTAAAATGGAAATGTCAAAAACCAAAACGAAAATGTCAAAAAAACAAAAACGAAAATGTCAAAAACAAAAGCGAAAATGTCAAAAACTAAAATGAAACCGCAGACAACAGTAGTAAGTGAAATATCAAAATATGGAAAAACAGACTCCATGTCCCTTATGGACCACCGTAGAAACATTTCAAGCTGCGGCTTAAAACAACACCCGCTCACCTCGGCTGCAGATATCCCCGCTTATCTGGACTTCGCACAAGGTTAGAATCTCGGTGAAAATGGGCAAGTATTGTATCTTGACGAATCTGGCAACTACTGGCTGATCACAAGACAGTGTGTCCATAGCCCCAAGGGTCCCCGTCTTCTCTGTGCAAGTTATAGTTGCCGTGGAGGGATTCTGCTGGGGGTCTTCTCTGAACGCCAAGATCGCCAGGTCTCTCAGACGATATGCTGCAGTATAACAGGTTAATGACAGACTCATTTGGACAGCATAACAATATTACATCATAACCACTCAAAATAGTTAAAGAAGAACCCATTCTTTCATATTACTATAATTAATCTGTCATGTCAAGTCATGTGAACACCATAATTCCAGTTCATACATATGGCTTCCGAGTCCGATACGAAGAAATAATTGACCCGTAAAGATCCGGGGTAGAATAGGTCTTCAGCAACCCATGCTTGCCATAAAAGGCGACTATGCTCGCCGTAAGAGGCGACCAGCGGTATCGGGTGGTCAGGCTCGCCGACTTTGTTGATCCATGTCATCTTATCCCAGTTGTGTGGATCGATGCTCATGATGTCAATCACTGGATTGTCTGGTCCAGACTCGATTATTATAGACCGCCGTCATATAGCTGGAATATTGCTGAGTGCGGCGTTAAACAAACAAACAAACAAACAATTTTACGATAATAAGTTACAATTCCAAATACGGTTGATGAAAACAATCCTGTGATATCAATTCATTTACAAAGACGAAAGTGTGGCATGTAATAATTGACACCTTTCACATGGCATCTGTCAAAATATTTTTCTTTTGGTTTTATCTCCTCGACATTGCTATTTTTTTTGTCTCAAAAAATTACAATGACATTAAAACCAGAGAATTGGAACGTTTGTCCTGAAATACATTGGCTTGTGCTTTTCCATCTCCAGCCCGCCCTAATTTTCATTCCGACGTGAAAGAATAAAAAATATCTTTTGTCTCAATTTTCCCCGCCGAAGTATAAATTTATGCCCCGATGTGATAGAATACATACTCCTACAGTGGCACATTAAAAAACAGGTTAGTTTGACCTTTCCTTGGCTAGATTTATTAAAACTGCATTTCCAAGGCAAAGCGACGTCATTAATTAAATTAAGAGCTGTTACAATTGTTCTAAACTTTAAATTTTCATAAAAAGAAGTTACACTTATAGTGAAAAATATTAATTATTTTCTCTCTTTCGTTTTTAAAGATTTCGCCCGCCCGCACTCTTGCCTGATGAGGATGGAGATGAGAAACACATTTAAAAAAGATGGCTGGCCAAACCAAGGAATTTTGCACAGCGAAAGGCTGTTTTGGGGAAAACGTGGTATTATAACCATGCTGTCATTTTAACCAGGGGGTCTTAAATAATCTATACCATATATATGTGTAGGTCAAAATATTTACCCTTGGGTTTTAAACTTGAGGGAAAGTGTCTTATCTTTTTTATAAACCGAAAAACCCCACTTAAAACTAGGGCTGGGACGAGTCCAAATGTACTACCCGGTTACCCACCCTCCTATTACCCGACCCTACCCGGGTACCCGCTGTAGGTCTCATGAGATAGGTCCAAATGTCCGACTGGGAATAATTTGACCGTAGCTCTGGCAAAATGTATTTAGATACACATCATGCATAAACTGAAGTTTTATCTTTATTCATACATATAAAGTCAGATAGAATGCAAACATTAGTCACATAGTGTAACCATAGAGTTCTAACTTCTTTGATAGGCATTTAGAAGTTGGAGTACTAAGTAAGGATAAGAATTTATGGAAGAACAACTTCTTTATTACAATTAAGAGCAACGTTTCGGTGTAGGTTCTAACACTTGCTTGATAACGGTGTTAGAACCTACACAGAAACGTCGCTCTTAATTGTAATAAAGAAGTTGTTCTTCCATAAATTCTTATCCTTACATAGAGTTCTAGATAATTTTTGTCATTAAACAATATATCATGTGATTAACCACGGTTTCGGGTAGTCCTGTGGGTACCCGGGTCCTTCTCAGTACCCACCCGACCCGAGTACCCGAGTTACCCGTCCCAGCCCAACATAAAACAACATTTATCAACATTTTTATGTTTCAAACATACTTTCCATGAACCCTAGGAAACGGGCGTAAAATATCTGTTACTTGTGTACAGGTAACTGAAAAAGACATTCTTAAAAGCAGTGTGACTTATCAGCGCGTCTGTAGTTTAGCGGCACACTCACTGGGCTACAGATACGAAGGTTGCGTGTTCGATATATCAAGATATATAATATAAATATAAAGAGAACATGTGTTATTTGATTTTACATTTCATTACATTGTGTTCAAATGCAAAGGGGCGGTCGGGTAGCCTAGTGGTTAAAGCGTTCGCTCGTCATGCCGAAGACCCGGGTTCGATTCACGACATAGGTACAATGTGTGAAGCCCATTTGTGGTGTCCCCCGCCGTGATATTGCTGGAATATTGCTAAGAGCGGCGTAAAACCATACTTACTCACTTACTACTCAAATGCAAAAAAATGGATTCTAGCTAGAAACATTCATTTGTTACAATTTGAACGGAAGTTGTATTAATAAAATCCCGGGGATATTAAACATTCCCTGTTGATAAGATTAAACCAACTGGAGAACAATAGGATGACGTCACTGGGGGTTAAAAAGTAGGACTCCAATACAAGTCACATGACTAGTCATCTAACACTCCAAATGCTTCCCTGAGACATAAATATTTTCCAATAAAATTATAAGTTGTTTATTGTAACCCAATTTTTGTGTCAAACATTTGAACAAGATAAGTTGATTCACCGCGTAGCAGACTAAGGTATTGGTAAAAAGTAAACAAGATGCAAACAAAATATTTGAAATTAATAAATTTGCTCCTATCTGGATAATAACAATAACTTCTCGAATAACAGTTTGGATAAAATAAACTGTAATTTCCGAATAAAAACAACGGGGTGATAATTGTCTTGTCTTAGTAAGTCATTGAAAAAAAACACTTGTAAAAAACAATTCCAACCAATCCCAAAACGCAGGGTTGAAACTTTGCAAACGTTGCAGGACACCTAGACTAACATTTAGTCTGTGAAATGAACATATCGTACATAAAAAAACAGTTGTTCAGTTATCTTAATAAAAATATAATAAAAAGGAGCCCAGTGACTCTCTTCATTTTCAGATACTGATACTGCAGTGATCTAGACTTGCCAAACATTATAGACTTGCATGGGCTATTTTTGATATATATTTGTATCAGGGTCTGTAAGACAGACTACAGGACACCCCAATCAATAAATTATTGAAAACCAATTAATAGATGTATCCTATTCACCATACTAACGCCTAGTTTGTTGACGGTCGGGACAAGTGAGCCCGCGGCTGAAATCCACTTCCGCTCGGGGTTCATAATTGTTTTCCAGCTCGCAAAATAAACTGTCGATATTTCGCTAAGTAAGCGACATAAATCGAATTTAGACCACTTGTACATGCGTAGAAATGTGTTATCTATCAATCTACGGCCAGAAATGTGCTTGTCAAATAGCCTATCATATAGAAATCGACCTGGGTATCGAATGTAAACAAACCCGCAAGATGGCGAGTGACGCTCCTTTTCTCTGCTTACATATAGGGGTTATATATTTTTATTTACTGACCAATAAGGACTTCCTGTTGTTTTCAGCTAGCCTATTATGTATATTTGCACCAGATTGTAACATGAATTAACGATAATTAATTGCTTGAGCTAATCATCACATAGATCTTATAATAATTTTGAGATAAAATTATACGATAATGATTTCGATTTCTTTAGTTGATCAATGATTCTAACGTCAAGTTTGTTTGTTTGTTTGTTTGTTTGTTTAACGCCGCTCTCGGCAATATTCCAGCTATATGACGGCGGTCTGTAAATAATCGAGTCTGGACCAGACAATCCAGTGATTGATATAATGAGCATCAATCCACTTAAGTTGGATACGATGACATACATCAAATATGTCAGCGAACCTGACCTCCCGATCCCGTTCGTCGCCTCTTACGACAAGCATAGTTGCCTTTTATGGCAAGCATGGGTTGTTGAAGACCTATTCTACCCCGGATCTTCACGGGTCCTAATGTCAAGTAGATAGGTGTTTGTTTACCTTCTAGATTCTACATCGTGAACGTACGATTCCACAAATTCCTACTTATAAATGGCTCGTGGAACCCGACTCACGGTGGCCCAGATATCTGTGATATTACTGAAATATGGTTCTACCCTCCCACCCTTCTCTTTGCGAAACAGTGACGCAGAGCTGCACAGTAAGCCTACCAAAGCCATCGCTTCGTCGCTGTATGGAGACGCTTGTTATTCTGTAGTTCCCCTGGAGGTCCACCATCCACCATGGCGATGTCGCAGAGCTTGTGAAGCAGCTGCTGTGACTCCGCACCGCGTCGAGGTTGCCGTCCACGGCATGAGAGGAGGATGATTTTCCGTCATAGTCGGTGCTGCTGTGGGTTGGCTTGTTCAGCGCGATGTTACACCAGCCAACTGGAAAAAATGATCAACATGATTACGTTCATACTCCTTTTCATTGTCAATGCTCAATTGTTTCTCAACCCCTAATATAGTTTTACATGCACAATTCGAGTTATTTTCCGTTCCGAAAGTACACTTATTGACGTAACCCGTTCTGACGAAGAGCAATGCTATTTTTGATTTCGAAAATCAGTAATATCTTTATATCATTGTTTTCATTAAGTAAAAAGGGGGCACGGGTGGCCCAGTCGTCTAAGGCGCCCCGGTTCGCTGTGCAGAGTTGCGTCCCTTGGGCACGCCAGAAACCTATGATTGTGGGTTCGAATCCCGGTTCGCCCCAATTATGTTTCTAGGTTTGTCAGCACCATACCCGTGCTCGTGGGTTTCACCGAAGTGGTAAACGTCTGAGACCTGCATCACTTCGGGCTTTCCTCCCACATTAAGCTGACACGCCGTGATATAACTGGAATACTGTTAAAAGCGGCCGTAAACCCAACTCACTCACATTAAGTAAAATTGTGAGTTCAGACTGATGTAGCATTTTTTTTAGCTTAATATCCCGTGGGACTGTGTGTCGTCAAGCGGCGACTCCGTTGGATCAAAGCCTCGTGGTATAATCGTTCGTTCGTGACGCCGAAGACCTGGGTTCGATTCCCACTTTGGTACAACGTGTGAAGCCCATTTCTGGTGTCCTCCGCCTTGGTATGTTGCTAAAAGCGTCGTCAAGCCATACTCACACTGATTGTCGTAAAACGCTACGCAGTGGACCAGGCTCGGTGACTTATCATCGCATCCCTTTTTCGTGGATGGATGCTCATGATGTCAATCACTGGATTGTGAGGTCCAGATTCGATTATTTACAGACGGGCGTTATATAGCCGGATTATTACTGAGATGGGCAGTACACAACTAGTAAACATTGTCAACAATCAATCACAACCTTTTGTCTAAGATTAGTATATATTTCACTGTATTGTGTACCAGTGTTGCTACAGCAATACGCAGACATTGCATTCAGAAGTCTCACAATGGAAAATTAACAACATGTCTACACCTCACATGGAGAAATGTCCGTTCTGGTCGACAATATCAATCAAATCATACAATTTAAAATGTCATTGGAACCATTGCTTTTCAAACGCATGCCATGTTAATGTGCCGATCAATTATTTCCCATTTAACCAAACAATGATGTACATTCCACATCCTAACGGTTTTTGATGTATGAGCTAAAAATATAATAGTAACCGCTGGTATCGACGTATGTTTGTTTGGACCTTGTTTGCCTACAAATTCAAATGATAGTTTTTTTATATATCAGATGATGATAATTGCAATTTCAAACACTGAGTGAGTGAGTGAGTGAGTTGGGTTTAACGCCGCTTTTAACAGTATTCCAGTTATATCACGGCGTATCAGCTTAATGTGGGAGGAAAGCCTGAAGTGGTGCAGGTCTCAGACGTTTACCTCTTCGGTGAAACCCACGAGCACGGGTATGGTGCTGACAAACCTAGAAACATAATCGGGGCGAACCGGGATTCGAACCCAACAATCATAGGTTTCTGGCGTGCCCAAGGAACGCAACTCTGCACAGCGAACCGGGGCGCCTTAGACGACTGGGCCACCCGTGCCCCCGCAATTTCAAACAGACAACGTCTCGGTTCACACATTAATAATAATGTGTATATTTATAGTGCGCCCAATCCACACCTTAAATCATGTTCACAGCGCTGCGTTATCACCTTCGTCAATAGTCTCTATTTTCATTCTCAGCTTCCTGGGGAGTATACAACCCATATCATTACCAATGCATCGGGTACCCATTCACTGCTGGGTGAACAGAGGCATTTTTCGAACTAAAGTCACCTGCCTATGGAGACATCCCATGTGCTACATGTGCTACATGTGCTTTAGTGCAGGGCAGGACCTGATCTCTGGACACGTGACCACGTGCCGCCACCACAGCATCTCCCTCGTGGGGATTCCTGGTTAGATCTGGTCCCCAACAACCTATGCCTGTCGTAAAAATCGAGTGATCAGGCTTGGTGACTTGGGTGATGGTGTGTCAACGTACCCTGACGTCGTGAATCCTTGCTCATATTATCAATAGCTGTCTAATCCAGACCGTCGTCATATACATGTAGCTGGAATATTGGTGAGTGCGGCGCCAGACAAGAAAACAAACACATTATACAGCCAAGACCGTGGAGCACTTCTCTTAAAGGAGCTGTTCCTTCTGTTTAGGGGCGGTCGGGTAGCCTAGTGGTTAAAGCGTTCACTCGTCATGCCGAAGACCCGGGTTCTATTCCTGACATGGTTTCAATGTGTGAAGCCCTTTTCTGGTGTCCCCCGCCGTGATATTGCTGGAATATTGCTAAGAGCGGCGTAAAACGTAACCCTCTCACTCACTCCTGTTTTTGAATGTTCTGGGGCTCCGCCGGCCCAGTCGTCTATGGCGCCGCAATTCGCTATGCGGAGTTGCGTTCCCATGACACGGGGATGATATTTATCAGCTGCTGTGGCAACTAATCGATAGATCAATACGAATAAATGATAAACTGTTTTAAGTACTGTGTTCTCACAACATTTTGTTCACCTGTTGTTCTACTATCGCCTACCAATCAAGAAACTCACCTGACCTTAATTGGATGTCCTCAGATCTTTGTTTAGCGGTAGTGCGAAGAGTTAGTAATGAATGTATGTAGGTCTTGCGACTTTCAACTTGATTTCATGTAAAAAATACAATGAATCATTGTTAAGATTATTTGGCACGATACTGGTTGTACCATTAGCGTCCCCTTCGAAGATTAATTTGTGTCGCTGCTTCCAAAAGTGTTTATGATTGCACGTTCAGATAACTGGGAATTAACATTTCAGATACATACTCTGCAAAACAAGAAACGCAAAAGTGACTTTAGATGTATATTTTATATGTCATATAAATAATCAACAGATCAAAATTGGCACCAATCATTGTCATTGATCCAGGTTCCATATGGCACAATGGAATAGAAGATTTTCAAGATGAAGGTCATCTGTTCTCAATATCTTGTATGGCCACCATTTGAGTCCACAACTGATTGGCATCAACGTCCGGAAACAATCAGATCTCGAAATGTGGCCTACCATCCGCACGGCGACGCATAAAATCTGACTCGTCACTAAACCAAACTTGTCTCCATCGCTGTTGTGGCCATACTCTGTGACCTTGACACTATTGACGTCGCAGCCGACGAAGCAGTTTCGTCAAAATGACATCTCGAACTGGTCGTCTAGGGCGAATATCTTCAGCACGTAAACGGTTCCTCCCTGTCTGAGCTGACATCCTACGCAATCCTGGTATTGTCGCTGTTGTAGGGGTGACCGTGGTGGTTCTTTCACGTAAGTGACGTGGCCGTATAAATCTGTCCTGTGCTCTAGTAGTGACACGTGGTCGACCGGACCTGGGAAGGTCACATGTTGTCCCGTGTGTCTGATAACGCTCCACAGTCTTGGCGCTACGTGGAAATACCTGGCTACAGCTGAAGATGATTCTCCTGTTTGCAGTCAGTCTCATTAAAATCAGATCTTAGTTCTCACTATCGCTAAACAGAGATCTGAGGATATCCCATTACAGGTCATGTCAGAACGACCTTTCATCCGACCAATCAAAGCGTCGCTTACCTGATCCTGAAAGTGACAGTCGGAATGTGTTTTCTAATAATGCAACCTCGAAAGCTTTAACTCCGAACAATAGTTACGTTTATATATATAAGCAGCAAGATCTATTTCCATAATTATGGTGTTTATGAATCAATATCAATAGTGATGACACCAGATTTCGCGAAAAGGAAAGGGTATCCTGTCCCATTGGTAGCATCCATCACAAACACATACAAAGGCAAGTCAATTGTTCTGAAGAAATTGGGAATTGTATCGGACATACATTTTGTCACGGTATAATTTGGAATTGTCTTCCACATGTCAACATGTCCACATGTTTTTGAAAGTTTTACTGAGGCTTTGAATCTAGTCACCCCGACCAAACAAATCTTGATCACGAGTCGTATGACGCTCTTTAAAATCTTCGTAGAAAGAGCATGCTCGATTTTTGGAAAATTTAAGTCAACCCTCTTGTCATACAATCTTGTGGAAAGTCTTTGTCACTAAATTTGTGTGCATATGTCTAAATAGACGAGGCGTTTTTACTGAGATATGTTATTTCTAGTTCGAGAAGGGAATTGGCTATTTGACTGGTATTAGACCATCGATATATTTGAAGCTTAAGTAAAACTTCTTCGCCAAATTCACTTGTATTGATTTTGCCAATCCGAGCAGAAATTCCGAGTCATGCATACAGAAACAGATCAACAAGAAGGAGAGCGCAAATGGCGCCCATGGGCAAGTCTTCCTCTTGCCTAAATGTCTTACCCAAAAATTACACAAAGATGTTATCAAGTCCAACAATTCACATATGTTTTTCTCGGTCAACCTCAATCGCATTAAAATCAGACCTCAGTTCTCGCTACCGCTAGACAAAGATCTGAGGACATCCCATTAGGAGTCACGTCAGAACGACCTTTTATCCGACCAATCAGAGCATCGCTTACCAGATTATGAAAGTGACAGTCGGAATGTGATTTCTAATCATGCAACCTCGAAAACTTTAACTCCGAACAATAGTTACGGGTTCAACTGAATCCATACAATCTAGACCATCTATTAGCCATTCCAGAATGTTCTTTTGTTCAGGTTTCAAATTTGTGATCGAGAATTTGTCAAAATATGTTTCGAAGCGTAATGGCCAATTTGAAATTAGTGCCGTAAAGCACGAGAAAGCTGCCTTCTGATTGATCATTCCATTAGTCGGTCAAAGTTCGCGCAAGGTCGGTCTGACGTGACCCGTAATGGGATGTCCTAAGATCTTTGTTTAGCGGTAGCGAGAACAAAGATCTGATTTTAATGAGATTGAGTAAACCTCAGATGACATTTGCTTTTATTTTTGACAAATTGTCCTGAACCTTTGATGCAACGTCATCTACAGTCACCACGTTTAGTGATTCCCATGGATCAAGTAATGAAGTTTTTCCTTAAGTTTGTAGTGTGGAATATTAGTTTACAACGTTGGCAAGGGAGAAGAGGAAGGATCTGTCACTTGGGGGAGGAGTTATTGACCATCCCGTGGAAGGTCTGGCCTATACGTACTTAGGGATGCAAGTCAGGGACAAACTACAGACTTGATCATATCAAGGAAAAGAGAACAAATGTAGACTTAAGAAAATCTTGAGTTCAGAGCTGAACGCTCACAATAAAGTCAAAGCCACAAACTTCATATGCCGTACCCGTCCTTTCGTATTATTTTGGTTTTGTTAATTAGACGAAACAAGAAATTAATGGTACTGACACCCTCACACAAAGAATCATGTCAGACAATAGATCCACCACCCTCGCTCTTCCCTTAATCGCTTATATTTACAAGTTGTAATGAGAGGGCTTGGTTTGATTAACATGGATGCTCTTCATGATAGAATTGTATTCTGCGTTTTTTACACATTTATTTGTCTGATGATCCTCTTGTGAAGCATGTCAGGACTCATGATGAAAGGAGGCATTCCATAGATATACGATCCAAAGATATGGGACATAATCTCAATGTCAGTGGTGATTTTGTTGATGGTTCGGTACAGAGATGAGTGTCAACCAAGCGAAGTGCCATATTAAATCGGCCCGAAACTAAGCATCAAGCCTACGTGCAGTGTCCTTTGCTTGGATGAAGTCGGCTGGCCTGAAAAATGAAACTGAAGGCTTTCTGTTTGCCTTCTGTTTCTGTTTCTCCAGAGCAGTCACTTTATGCCGAAATGTAATTTTTCATCAAAATGTAAATATTAATGTAGATTATGCAATGGATTTAAGTAAACTGTCCAACACTTTGTCAGTGGATGCCCAGCTTTGACAACAACAAAAATATCTAAAGCGACTTGATGGAGTGGCCCGATCATTATATTACCGTCTTCGCAATGGTTTTGGTTTTGACACAGAGGTCCACCCATGGTAAGACCCAGACTATGTAGAGAGCGTCATGGAAAATGATAAATAAAAAATTCTTTGGAATAGGCCTGTATACAGTCTCAGACTTATCCAGGCCAACAAACCTGATCTTATCCATTTTGATAAATCCAATGAAATCATTTATATTAGTGAATTTTCTGTCCCTATTGACACTAATGTGATTGACAAGATTCAGGAAAAACATGGCAAATATGCAGACCTAGCTTTCGAAATGTCACACGTGCATCCCAAGAACCAAGTTGTCCGACTCCACATTGATCTCGGTTGTCTTAGGTCTGGTACCTCCCAATCTGTTGACTGACATTGGAAGACATTGGGTTTGCTATCAGGAATAATGCAGAAGGCTGAATTGTTGCGGAGTCTTCACATTCTCCGAAATGTTTTGGGTGGGTTCGACTGGGAAGCACTTCCTGGGAGAAGTCCCATTCGCTGTCTGGGCTAAGTGAAGAGGGGGAGGGGGGAGGGCCCAGAGCTGATGATGAGACTAGCCAGCCTGACTACCAGGATCACCCAAACTCTCTTTGTTACTTTTAAATTTTAATCTGTACGTAATAATAACGGAAAATATATGATTTGGAACCTTACCAAAGCAAATACGCCATAAAACTAAATTGACATAACTTTATACAAAAATATAGCAATAAATATTATTCTATCGCAATTAAAACTAAACAGTAAAGGATCAACAAGCAAATAGAGCCGATCCCATGACATAAATATTTCAATTTCAATAAAACTATTACTTCAATAACTTCCACCAAGCTGCATAAAATGGGAATTACTTCAAACGAATAAATTTGAGTAATTTACATTTGATAAAAACAACTGATATTTGTACTTACATTTGGCCACAAGAGCCAGTATAAACCAGCAAGCATGAACACCGTTAAACTCCATGATGCCCAGATGAAGTGAAACCGGTTGGATGTCTACCAATACTGCCAGGGTATTGTGTGTCTGTTAGCCTCACCGCACATGACAAGTCGTTGGCTAATCCATATGTTGTGTTCCAGCTATGCAGATCGATATGTGCCAGAGATCTAATCCACTGTTGCATTCCAGCGGAGCAGATCGATGCGATTGACAGGAGTGGCAACCCGTATTTAATTATATACTCTGATAATAGGGGTAGGGGGTAGTCGGAAATAACTTAAATTTTCCAAATCCAATATTTTTCTTTTATATGATGACAAGAACGAATCGGGGACTCATTACAACTGGTAGTGAAATATGACAGCAGATGTAATGGCCGCCAACGATTTTGAAGGACGATAGGGGTAAGATGGAAAATTTCAAAGATGACGTTTTTGGATCAACGTGGTCGGCGGCCTGTGACGTTGACGCACACATCTCGTTGTCATGTCCCTGACGTTTTGAAAGGGGGAAACGGTCTTGGCTCAGTGCTGATCATGTCATTCTATGAGTGTTGTGCTGCTGGAGGTGAGTACTGACGATTCCTGCGCGGTGAGCGCGGGCGTTTTCGCCTTGAAAGACAAAAAGTCGACCTATACACCTTGCAAACGGTACAACAAAAGATGTTGTCCCGATATCTCTGTCCACTGACCCTTCCTTGCACGATATGGGTGAGTGAATGAGTATGGTTTTACGCCGCTTTTAGCAATATTCCAGCAATATCACCGGGGGACACCAGAAATGGGCTTCACACACTGTACCAATTCGGGAATTGAACCCGGGTCTTCGGCGTGACGAGCGAACGCTTTAACCACTAGGCTACCCGACCGCCCCTGCACGATATGGAGTGGGGTTAGGTCAGTTATAGATCAGTCGATCTTTACTCTTATCGTTGACCTGGAACCACCGAACGGGGTCGAGTTAGGTCTGTTGGTACCTGTTCCATCACCTGCCCATCACGGACTGTGAAACATGTCAACATATTGGCCACTGCACGCTCACCTCTGACAGTTTCCGTAAACGATCCGATCGTTGAATACGTCGCATCCGTAGTCCATACACAATGAAAGTCAAACAATGAAGACAAGTAAATCACAACTGTTTGATAAGCAGAATCAATACGACTGACAGAAATAATGGCACACAGAGATTAATCGACCATCCTTGAAAGTGTCAAAACTAGGAATGTGTGCTGCGCTACTACTTTGAAATTTTACAGAAATAAACAGAATATTTGAATCCTAGCTTCACACCGGTATGTCTGTACCCGTTCTTCATGAATTCTGAATGGTCACGTTGAATGGTAAAGTGGAATGTCCACCTGCTATGGTGAATGATCGTTAATAGATATACACCAGTCAGGTATCTCATTAGAAGAGGGGCGGTCGGGTAGCCTAGTGGTTAAAGCGTTAGCACGTCACGCCGAAGACCCGGGTTCGATTCCCGACATGGGTACAATGTGTGAAGCCCATTTCTGGTGTCCCCCGCCGTGATATTGCTGGAATATTGCTAAAAGCGGCGTAAAACCTCACTCACTCACTCACTCACTCATTAGAAGAAGATAGAAACGCCGTGTAGAACAAACACAGATTGATTATTCAAAGGTTAAATATAATATATTAATATCTCTTTCCACGCTCCTTGCACATGACATAGGTCTCCTCGTACGTGTCGATTAAAAACACTGGGGCTGCAAGGGGATGAATAGTCTGTTTGTTTGTTTTTTTATTAACGCCGCACTCAGCAATATTCCAGCTATATGACGGCGGTCTGTAAATAATCCGAGTCTGGACCAGACAATCCAATGATTGATATCATGAGCATCGATCCACGCAATTGGGATCGATGACATGCATCAACCAAGTCAGTTAGCCTGATCACCCGATCCCGTTAGACGCCTCTTACTATTTTTTTTTATACAAGCATATAGTCGCCTATTAGGGCACCATGGGTTGCTGAAGACCTATTCTACCCCGGATCTTCACAGCACGCATGGGTTGCTGAAGACCTATTCTACCCCGGATCTTCACGGCACGCATGGGTTGCTGAAGACCTATTCTACCCCGGATCTTCACGGCACGCATGGGTTGCCGAAGACCTATTCTACCCCGGATCTTCACGGCACGCATGGGTTGCTGAAGATCTATTCTACCCCGGATCTTCACGGCACGCATGGGTTGCTGAAGACCTATTCTACCCCGGATCTTCACGGCACGCATGGGTTGCTGAAGACCTATTCTACCCCGGATCTTCACGGGTCGCGTCATGAAGGGAGAACAACTCACGGTGAAAGTGGTGCAGGTTTTAGACGTTGGTCACTTTGGTGAAAACCACGAGCACGCGCATGTTTCTGATAATCCTGGGATTTGCACGATCATATAGGTTTCTGTCAAGAATGACCTCTTCCCAGTGAAGTTCGACACCGTAGTCAACCAGTACATCCCACACCCAGAATATATATGTGTGACAAGGGGACGGTGGGGTAGCCTAGTGGTTAAAGAGTTCGCTCGTCACGCCGAAGACCCGGGTTCGATTCTCCACATGGGTACATTGTGTGAAGTCCATTTCTGGTGTTCCCCGCAGAGCTATTGCTTGAATATTACGAAAGGCGGCGTGAAACCTCACTCACTCACTCACTAAATGTGACAATGAACTCATTTAAATAAACGTCTAATATATGTTGCTGATGCCGATGAAATGTTGGCCAAAGAACATGGCTGAACGCTCTGAATAACATGATGGTGTTGAGTAACAGAGGCGGCGGCTTCATGGAGAGTCAGACGACCATCTCATGGGACAATTACAAAAACATGTGGTGAGATATTTCAGAAAGAAAGAAGACTTTGGTTTCCGTATTTCAGAAAGAATACGTAAACAAAACTAATTGCGCGTCGTCAGAAACTTAAAACAGGACACGACACCGTGCAGTGTAACCTTACACGACCTGTTCATTTTCCACTCATTCTCTTTTGAAGAGCTATGAGGCTTGAGGAAATTAGATGTGGGGATGGTCGGGTTGGCATATCGCGTGTGAGATAGGGTAAATATATAAATATCTCACACTATGCATTTTATCCCACGGTTGGAAGGTGGTCCGCAGATACTCTAGCCTGTGTAGATTACAACCGTTAGATTTACAGAGAAAAAGAGAGAAATGTTTATTTTTGTGTCACACGCACAAGCCGTCATGGTAAAAAAATTTGGCATAGTATAATTTCCGGACAAAAGCTTGTACATCCAGCCTTATTAGGCTTATGAGACACAGTAAAATACAAGTATATCCATTGTGCAATAATAAATCAATAAATAAATCAATCAATCAATCAATCAATTAAAAAAATAAGAAAATAAATAAATAAATTATATATGTACTATACTAATAACAATAAAAGTGGTGTTTACCTTTTTTTAAAGAAACAATACTAATTGTAGTATTAATGATAATTAACTTTTATAGATTTGTCTTCTTTTAAACATATAATATAGACATTTAGTTAAAATGTGTTGCAGTGATTCCTCTTGCATAATAAAAATCATTTGTCTGAGCTGCCTAAATTTAAAAGAATCACTGTTAATAGCAAAAGCTTCTTGTAAAAGATCAAAGCGTAAGTCATCATTTACATGAGGAAGCTGGATCTAAACAGTGCAATAAATACAAGAAGACTGTCTAGTGTCGTAAACACATCAACAGGTGAGCGGGACAAAGGCCATCAAGGGGGGCACGATCCGGATGCGTTAATCGAACGAAACAGCAAGAGACGTGGGACACATGCCAAATAGTGTTTTCATGTATGTCATTGTTCATAGAACGACCGGGTAGCTGTACTCACACAAGCGACACAGTGGACGACGTCTACGGATATCGATTCTTCTAGACAGGGCGCAACACTCCGACGAACAATAGAGTGCGAGTACTCGACATCTTATTTAACGCTTAATCAAGGCTACGATAACACATTCGTGTGCATGAACCTAACCAGGACGAGAAAAGAACGATCGACAACATCCATAAGAGGGTCTTTGAACCAACACCTACATCACAAATTCTCAAGGCAGAGGTGAGCGGAGTAAAGGTCGCACCTAGTGGTGACCTTGATATTGATGACCAAAGTCTCTACAGACGAGCCAGTCTTCCATTCAAAAGAGACCTAGGTCTGGGTTAGCCTGAATATTGAAAAACCATTAAACTCCCAAGATAATTTTAAAAGTTTTATTACGTGTATATACACCAATGAGACTAGAGGTCATTCGGTTGATACATGTCATCGATCCCAATTGCGTGGATCGATGCTCATGATGTCAATCACTTGACTGACTGGTCCAGGTTCTATTATTTACAGACCGCCGTCATATAGCTGGAATATTGCTGAGCGTGGCGTTAAACAACAAACAAACCGGAGGACAGGAACAAGAGTATTTTACGTCAACTGTGTTGCGTGGGATGCGATAGCTTTTGCGCCCCGGACCGCCTCCGTGGTCTTGTGGTAGAGCGTCCGCCCGGAGAGCGGAAGGTCCAGGGTTCGATCCCGGGCCGCGTCATACAAAAAGACGTTAAAAGATGGTACTTGTTGTTACCCTGTCTGGTGCTCGGCATTAAGGGGCTAAAACAAGGACTGGTCGGCTCGGAGTCAGTATACTGTGTCTGAGTGGGGTATTCATGTTAAACTGCGGCATGGTATCTCAGTGAGCTAGCACTATAAATCGGCATCAGTCCGGACTAGTACAAGCAGCCACACACACACATACACGTGCATGCACGTCGCTATATAAGTGCAATAATCTTGGACGCGACGTTAAACCCAATTTCACCTCACCTTTTGCGCCCCGACCAACAGGCCGGACTGGTAGAGACCATGGACATCAGTGACGGAGGTTATGCGAAGCGAGGACTGTGTCGGCACCCCTCCATGATAGCAGAGAGGGTACAGTTACTGTGACAGGAAGGCCATGGCGGCAGCAACCGCTCGGGTTAGATGCTGAAGTGAAATGGGGTTTAGCGTTGCGTCTAAGATCATAGCGACGTGATTGCTCGTGTGTGTGTGGCTGCTTGAACTAGTCAGGCCGATTTTAAAGTGCTAGCCCACTGAGATACCATGCCGCAGTTTAACATGAATAACCCACTCAGACACAGTATACTGACTCCGAGCCGACCAGTCCTTGTTTTAGCCCCTTAATGCCGAACACCAAATAGGGTAACAACATGTACCTATTTTTAACATATTTTGGTATGACGCGACCGGTGTTCGAACCCCGGACCATCCGCACTCTGGGCGGACGCTCTACCACTAGACCACGGGTCTCGCGAAAGTTGGACATTGCACCTG